GAAGGAGGAGAAGAGATGGACCTGGAGAAGGTTAGAGTATAAAAGAAGAGACAGAAGACAAAACGTGTCTTTGACATACACTCTTCACTAGCTTCAGGATCCTGAATGCCACCTTTGCCTACTGTTTTCAGTACTTGGTAATGCCCACGGACATGGTATGGATGTTGCTCCTTATGCAGGAAAGGTGGTGGCGTGCTGTTGTGGTGATAACTCCCTCAGCTCATTTGGGTGGTTGGTTGTGGGGGTTTTATTTATGGGCCGTGTGTATGTGTGTATGGGCCATGTGATGGCATGGCTGTTTCTTTGGCTGACTTTCATTAAAAGTGAGGAAATGACCAAGCAGCCCATCAAAAGAACTCTGCTAAGGTCACTAATACAAGTATTTAAAAGCTGAGAAATTTCAGAATTCAGATTTGAGATGAAGCTCTAATTTGCTTAAAATGTATGTGGAGGTGGTTTTTCCCTAAATTCAGAATGTTTTCCGGTGGAGTAGTGTCAGTTGGAGTAGAGTGTATTCAGGCCTGCTTCCTCTGGGCTTTACTCTGTTAGCTACAGTCTATGGGCCACCCTGAGTAGAGTGTGAGTGCTGGCAGGCTGTGGAGAGCTGACTGATAGTAGTATTTTGGTTACATGGTAGTGTTTCTTCTTTAATTATGTTATCTCATGGCATCTGCCTCTTTCAGTACTCTATTTCAAATTTATTCTTGAGTGGAATCAAATCTGGGAAATTACTTTTCTGTAGGGCTTATTTGTGGCAGAAATTGGAAGATTAATTAGAGGTTGAGAAAGAGAAATAAGATTTTTCTTCATGAAGACATTTGAGTCATACAATGGTGAGGCACCTCTGGAGGTCATTCTGTCTAAACTCCCAGCTCAAGTGGGGTCGCTTAGAGCAGGTTCCCTGCGACCATGTCCAGTTGGCTTTTGAGTGTGTTGAAGGATGGCAACTCCACAACCTCTTAGGGCAACCTATGCCACTGCTGGGCAGAAAGCTGCGGTGCAAGCTGCATGTTGGCTTGCAGCTGTCTTGCACAACTCTTATGCTTTTCTTTTCCAGCTCATCCTGTCAATAAAAGCAAAAAACCCTATCAATTTATTAATTTATGGTTTTTTATATCTGTAGCAATTGAGCACTTGACAGTAAAGGAGTGAGTGAGGAGAGGGCAAGTGGGACTAGTCAAACTATTAGTTGAGGTATTCAAACTTGAATTTCAATATATATGTACAAGGTGACCAAGCTGGCATTGGATGATCAATTATAACTTAGGTGTGTGCTGTATTTGGCAGCTTTTGTATTGTTGGTAGTTTTGTATGTAATTTTATACAGCTGAATATAGTATGCTAAACAGATTTTTACAAAAGGATTAAGTTACTTCTCCTAGGAGGCACAGAGGCTACGGGATAGGTCTGATGTTTACCCTGGTGCAGCTTTTAGAAATAAGAAAAATAATGTTCTTGTTTCTCTTGTGAATATAATGGATATTTCCTGGTTGGTGTATAGGTTGAGGATATATTCTAGTGCATTCACCAGAAGACAGACAGCCTGCTTGAGAGAGTTCTCTTTCTTCCCTTGTTCCCCCTCCTTCCCTGCTTCCTGTCCTCCCTTCTCAGGACAACATTTAATCAGAATTAAAAGCTTTGCACAGGAATGCTTGAAATGCTTGTGAGTTGGACTGTGTGAGAACCCATTTTATACTTCTGGCAGATTTTCTGGAAAGCGCAGCCCTGTGTTTCTTGAAGCTGTGACGTGCTTTGGACCAGCAACGCAGAATGCAGACTTATACTATCTCTTGGGAACGTGACTTATTGAGATAGAAGGGCTGCAGACTGGGATTCTCTTGTGCTTTGGAAAGAGAGTATGCTGAGGGGTCACATCCCAACCTCCCACATTTGAAAAATACAGTAACCAAATTGGGAGGGGAATTTGGTAATGCCATAGTACAGTATAGGTGAGATTAAAAAAAGGCAAACTACAGGAGGAAACATGTTTAAGGAAGAACATTGTATTATGGAGTTTAATTATGAAAAGAATAATTCATTTCCAATCATCTTAAATGAGACATATAAAAAAAATAAACCTGTGATCAAGTAATTTATTTTTCAGTTACCTTTTACAATTTAGTATCTTTATCAGAACCACCAGCTAAATGTGATATTTTTCTTTAAGTGTTGATATACACGTATTTGATAAATTTGGATTTTATTTTCAGTTGCTTTTTACAAATTGGTGCCCCAGGTAAACATAGTTTTTATTTAACAAAAAAAGTTGCTAAGTAATTGAAAAATTTGAACAAGTTAGTTAAAATAAAAAGGCAGCTGGTTCATTTGTTTTCTTTTCCTTTTGTTCCTTAGATCTGAATATGTGAAAATAAATATATATCTATATTTGAGTGCATGTATGTATACAGATTGCATATATGTTACAGGTGTGTGCTAAAGCTTTTATGACCAATATGGTGATCACAGTGGTGCTTACTGCTCAGGTAAAATTCTAGAACAAAACCAGATTTATTTATTAGCGTTGGAATTTAAATGAGTGTGTTTTTTCCACTTTGTGGATTGATCTTCGTTTTCAGATATTCACAGATAGGTTGAATGCTTTGCGATTCAAGGATTCTGATTAAGCTGATCAACTTGGTCTTATAAAATGTGAGGATATTCTAGTATGATTGTGGATGAATTTGCTCTCCTGCTTGACAACATTATCCCTGGCTTATCTTTTCCATCAGCATCTGCAGTGCATTTTCACCATGATAAATGAAGTAATGGACTACCTAAGGGTAATGCTGAGGAAGATTGATCGCCAAAATACCAGTAGAAGCCTCAGGCTAAAACTAAACCTATTAGAAATGCAGTGTGTCTTATTAAAGCCATAAAGGAAGTGTTTAAAGTGACTACAATGTGGAACAAATGTCCTTTAACAGATTACTTTTGGGTGATGGATGTTATTGTTAATCTAGGCTGTTTCAATATGGTATCGCATTTTTGTTTTTTCCCTTTAGATTTTCTATGTAGGCAGTTTTTATACTTGTGTATGTGAGATAGATATACAGTTTTCCAAAAAACAAAGATGAGGTTTTTACATGATGTTTGCAGATCTGGTTTTCAGAATACTGGGATTGCAGCACTTCTGACTGAGTATGTTCTTGGATTCATTTCTGATTTTGAAGAACTCTTCTAATGTAGGTAGTAAATTAGGGAGCTGTAGCCTTATATTATTTATTCTATTGTAGTTTAGAATTCTCTTATTTAGTCAGTTAGCACTGGAACAGGTTGCCCAGAGAAGTTGTGGATGCCCCATCCCTGGAAGTGTTTAAGGCCAGGTTGGGTGGGGCTTTGAGCAACCTGGATTAGAGGAAAGAGCCCCTGCCCACGGCAGGGGTTTGGAACTAAATGATACTTAAGGTCCCTTCCAACCCAAACCATTCTGTGATTCTATAATCTCTGTCTTGAGTCAGTTGATGTAGATTTTGTTTTAAATCAGAGTTGAGGATTTTTTGCATTTCATGTAACATGATGTGCATTTTTGTTCTTTAGCTTTATTTGAGCCTTCTCTCAGTCTGAACTCTTTGGTGGTTGCTTTGCTCATCCCTGCTTGCTGGCCTGGAGGAAATTCCATTTAAAGCTATTTATAAAGTTACGTACTTTTTTCTTTTTTTTTTTTTTGCACTCACCTTGAGTCCTGTGTGTGGTTTTGGGCGCCACAGTCTAAGGAAGATATAAAGCAGTTAGAGAGTGTCCGAAGGAGGGCTGCAAAGATGGTGAAGGGCCTTGAGGGGAAGCCATACGAGGAGTGACTGAGGTCACTTGGTCTGTTCAACCTGAAGAAGGGAGAGAGGGGAAACCTCATTGCACTCTACGGCTTCCTCATGAGGGGAATTGGAGGGACAGGCACTGATTTCTTCACTGAGAGAGATCGGTCACTGGTGGTGACCAGTGACAGGACCCAAGGGAATGGCCCAAAGCTGTATCAGGGCAGGTTTAGGTTGGATATTAGAAAAAGGTGCTTCTCCCAGAGGGTGATTGGGCACTGGAACAGGCTTCCCAGTGAAGTGGTCCTGGCTGTAATTCTACTACTGTTCAAGAAGGATTTGGACAATGCTCTCAGGCATATGGCGTCATTCTTGGAGTTGTCCTCTGTTGATGTTCCATGTAGGTCCCTTCCAACTTAGGATATTCTGTGATTTTTGGACATAAACCAAGGTTGTGTATGAAAGGATGGTGTCTTTAGGAGCCTTATTATCTGATTTGCAATGGGGAAAAAACAAAAGTTATTTGTAAATAATGGGAATAATGTGAAGGAAAGAATATTTAGACTTGAAAGACAGAAATAGGACAATCAGAGAGAACGGTTCAAAGAAGTAGAGAAGATGCAAGTAAAATTAGGGACTAAGAACCTCAAGCCAAAACACAAGTGCTTTTATTAATTGTCTTATAAAAATGAAATTGCATTTTTATCTGGTTTGCCAAGGACTTTCAGCTTATATAATCATTTGGGCTTCTTTCTCCCTCAGTGGCAATTGACCTCTGATGACCAGTTCAACAAGACTTTCAAAGACCATTAAATTGATACATGTTTTGTGACTATAAGCAGGCTAAGGAACGAATACCAAACTTTTTCCAACTGTGGCTGCTGTTCTTTCCATTTGTTTGCAGCTGAACAGATGTTGAGATTTGTGTATTGGTTGGCCTGTTGGGAAGCACGTAGTTGGAAATTCATTAGTGCACAGATTGCTCTACAGTAATATAGCACTTGCCAGCTCTTGCCTTAGAGTGTTTTAACAGAAGACTTCGAAGGAACAGAGATTTCTGTGTGGATACTAAAAGGAAAATAGTAGAGAAATTCTTGGGGAAACCATAGTTTCTTGGAATTTTTTGCTCACTGAACTGACTTCTACCATGAATTCGGAAGTCTCTTCTGTATCAGAAGTGCTTAATCCTATTTTCTTCATATTTATTTATTTGTTTATGTTTATCTCTGGGTGTACTTTTTGTTGCAGTGGTGTGATGAAAGATTCGACTTCCAAGGCACATTTTTACAGTGCTTGGCAAAACATGTGCCAAATATTTATTCAGCTGAAATGGACCCCTTGCTGGAAAAACAAGAAGAAATGGTCCAGGCAGCAATATTATATCCCCTGGAGTGTTATTTGTTTGGAGAGGACCCAGATATGTTCCTGGAGAAGCTACAACAGAGTGGAACCTCCCAGCTCTGTGGAAAGGTGTTCAAAGGAGGGGAGACAACATACTCTTGCAGGTAAGAATGAAGGTGTGTTATCATAAATGTTCCTATGTGAGTTAATGCAGCAAAGTCATTTAATTGCATATGAAAAGAGGGCTCTGGCAGAAAAATGGGGAAGGAAATGGAAAGGATACTAAAAGTACTGAAAACCATTCGTTAAAGATATTGGATGGTAGGGTATGAGTATGGGGTCTGTACCTGAAGTGAGGGAGAAAAAGCATAAAAATCTGTGTATGGTACTGTACTCACTCTTTCGAAGTCTAAACCAGAATCCATCATTTTTGAGTGTCATCAGTCCTTTGCTTAAGCAAAAGCTGTGTGAAATGGTCATTTTTTCACCTTTTTTCTCATCCTGAAGTATATTAAAGGTAGTAGCTCGCTGGTTTGATAGAATTTACTTTATTAATTCATATTAATACAATTATATAAACAATGAGTATAATCTTCGTTCGCGAAGCCTAGCCATGATGATGATGAGTATAATTAAAAAAATTATATTAAAAAACCAACAGTCTTTGTGGTGAATGTAAATATTGCAACTGTGCTGGCAATTCATGAGCATTAGTTTGATGCTATTGTCATAGTTTATCCTTTTTTTTCAGTTTATTTTAAAAGCCTAGAAAATTTAATCAGGAATACTGAAAGAATATTATTAAGGATGAAAAATATTATTGTGGCTAAAAAGTCCAGCCCTTAGAATTTAGGAAATGTCAGAATGAAAGCTTTCGGTAAACATTATGTTTATGAATTATACTGTAAAGTTTTAATCAGTCACATACTCTGCAGCATTTTCTAAGAATAAGTTAGTGCTGTGTATGAAAGGAGAATAGTCTTTGAAGAAGTCCTTTTGTGTGTACTAGGAAGTGTGTAGTGAGTGTGACAGTTGTATGAAGGAAAAGGATGGACAAGGCAGTTTAGTGCTGCTGTAACAGGAATAATTCTGTTCCTGCTTCTGTGGAGTTCTTGTGTGATAGCAGGCAAAAAGACAAAGCTATGTATGTCAGGAGAGGTCTGTTTTTCTTAGTTTTTTGAGTTTCTGTCTTGCAAAAATGTGGTAGTATTTATACAAGATACTGTACATTTGTACTACTGCAACTGAAGTTAGATATACATTTGCTTTAGACTTTTAATATGCTAAGAATAATAGATACTCTGAAGTATTAAAGTCTAAACATCGTGAATTGGGCATTCCAATCTAGCAGGCACTTCTAACTTAATTTTTCTTTCTTTTAACTCACCTTTCAGTAGATTTATGTTAATAAATGAATGTTACTGAAGTATTAAATTATTGTAATGATTATTAGAATCTGAAGGTTTGAAAGGAAGTTATTTCTGAAATCAGAATTACCATGCTATTTTAATTGTATTGTAAAAGAGGCTTGAACTAAATGTTGAACAGTGGTATAAAGTAAAAAAACTTGATATGTTGTCATTTAGCACCTGTCATCCACATTTTGCATAGAATGAAACAGCACTTAAAGAAAAAAGCAACCATGTTTTAAGTAAAAATGCAATATAAAAAAAAGTATGTATGTGGAACAGAAAAAAATGGAATTAGATTGCCCGTGAGTGTAGTTCCAGATTTTTTGGTATTTAAGTGCATGACTGAAACTGTTGAGATTAAATTTCAAAGTATATATTCCTGGCTCATTTAATAAAGAATTCTCTTTAAATTTTAATTTCTAACTGTTCTAAAAGTTAGAAACATAACCTAGCAGAAGTGTAGCAGAAGTTTAATTGGCGAACTCACTACAGATGTTGGCAGCAATAATAAAGGTTGATTCAGAGTCCTCATGGGTTTTAATAGCTACTCATTTTTAGCAAAACCAGAAAAAGTTAGCAGCAAGTTACAAAAGTGAAAAATGAGCATGATTTTGATGGAATTTGATATAATAGGTTTGAATACATAGTTCAAACCTAACAAGACTATCATCTTTCTGTGACATAGAGTAGCCAATGTTTTTATAATTTGAAGTATTGTTAATCTCAATTTTTTTTTTTCAGAGCAGCATTTTCTTTTGTGCATGAAAATTCCATGTGTTTGTTTTAGAAGGTTTTCCAGTTACAGTTATCATTTTTGTTGCAGAGACTGTGCAGTTGATCCAACTTGTGTACTCTGTATTGACTGCTTCCAGAATAGCATTCACAAGAATCACCGGTACAAGGTAGGAAAATATTATTTTAAGAAATGATACTTGTAGCTTTAGAGAAGTTTTTTTTAGGATATAATAAACTGTATATAAACTATTAGTAATTTTATTGTTAAAAAAAGAAATTCTGGGATTTATGAATTACTTAATCTCTCTCTTGTCTTTCTAACTATGTAAAGCCTCTTTTAAGAACAGCAACTTTCTAATTGAAGAACCAAAGGATAAAAGAGTGTTTATGAATGCATACATTGTTATTCTCTTTGGCAGTATCACACAAGTGTAAGTCAGAGCAAAATACTGTGAATAAATATGGCAGTCATGTCCTAAGTCCCAGTTAGTGTTGTTGGCAAATTTAGAATGAATGTGCAAATAGAAGGGGCATTACTTCAGCACTTAGGATACAGGTTCTACATGTCCACTTTGTTCCTCCATTTAGATTTGCATAAACTACTTAGTGCTTTAGTGTGAACTACAATGAAGTGACACCAAACGTTAAGCATCGATTTTTTTTTAAATTTTTTTTTTTTTTAAATTGAGGAGATTGTTGTAGAATTGGATCATCCTTTTGATTCTCTTTGAACCAAATCTGTGTTGTCTTTGAGAGATTCCCATGCTTTTTTTAAAGAAGGTTCTTTAAAATAATTCTTAGATAACTTGCTGCCTAAATTGTTGTCATCTGATTCCTTCCCAGACCTTCTTTTTTGCTTGCCCTTTTTACTGAGAACTAATTTCAACAGCCTTGGAAGCAGAAATGGAAAACAATATATTGTGTCATTTTTACAACTGGACTAAGTCTGCTACAAGAGACAAGAAAATGTACAGAAACACTATGTATTCAATTTAATTATCTTTCATGACCAAAAAGGGGAATAAATTTTTTTCATTTTGGATTTTCTATTCATTGGCATGGTATCCGTTGAAGAGATTTGGCTTCCTTCTGTTATCCATTGTTCATAAATCCCCTTTAAGTGGGTATGTTTCAACGAGACACAGTTTGGAAGAGGGCCCTAGCAATCTCAAAAATGATTGGTATTAAAGGACAATATTCTGCCCCTCTGTGTAAGTCTTTGTGTACTGATCTGAACATATATTGCAGATACTGACTCAAAGACGTACAAAAGTATTTGGATAATGCGAATATAACTTCTCTGTACTTATGCATTGCACATGCACAGTTTACAGAGAGGTAGGATGAAAACCTAGGGAAAATCGACAGGAATGATTACAGAGCAGTTTGGAACCACAGCTGGCCTGAGAAGCTGGTGTTATTTCCCTGTTTTTCAGTAACTGCTTCTGGCAAGACATCAGCTATGGACATACGTAGTCAGATGAGAACAAGTTTTCATTGTAAATATGCAATCTAAAGAATACAGATTATGCTCTTTAGAGATTCATAGAATAATTTATGTTGGAAGGAACCTAAGAAGGTCACCTAGTCCACCCTCCTGCTTGAAGCATGTCTAATTAGATCAGGTTATTTTAAAATGTTTCAAGTAAATAACAGATTTTTGAATGTCTTTTTATTGGGTCACTGAGGGTTTTTTATAATTGTTTCAGGATTGGGGATTTGGAGTAAGCCAAAGATAATTGTTTTTTGCTTGAGTTTTGTCTGAACTTTTTTCCAAAATGAAGGGTCAGAACTTGTACTTTTCTGAAAGTGTAATCCAAAGTTAAAGTTACAAGAATGTGTTTAGATGTGATCATGTTATCTTTTCTTTTGGTTAGAAGTGAAGGTACTAGTAAATGTCTGTTTAATATGTGCTTATTCTTTTTTATATTATTTTCTAACTTTATGACATAATTTGTAAAAAAGGCATTAAGCAGCTTTGCTATAATTTTGGGAATAAACTCAGAAATTATTATTTTGCCATTTTTGAAGCACTTATCAGTCATAGGCTTTTTGACCTACTTTCTAGTTAAATTTATTTAAGACTTGCATACCTTTTTGTAGCAGCAACTATATTTCCTCCTTTATTTTCTGCTCCAAGTTTACATTTTACCCCTCTGCTCCTCTGATAAATCTCCTTTTATCTAAAAAAAGCAAAATGTTGTGGTAAGTCTGTTGGTTATGCAGCGTCTCTTCTGTTTTTTTCAGTAGATATTTATACTTGTGTTTGACTTAAATAATGTGCATTTCTGGTTTTTTTCTTGCATTTTATGTGCATATTTCATGACTGAAATACATGGTTTTTACAGATGCATAGCTCCACTGGAGGCGGTTTTTGTGACTGTGGAGATACAGAGGCATGGAAGGCTGGACCACTGTGTACTAAGCATGAGCTTGGATCATCGAGTTCTCCAAAAGAAGTAAGAATATTGCTTAAAGTGAAATAATAAATATTGTAAATATTGCCTTTTTTATTTTAAAAGTGCTTATTCCTATATGTGTATTGTATAATTTATGTAGCAGGTTCAGTCAAGCTGAATTGGGATTTCTTTGGTCAAGGTGTTTGGAATCAAACATATATATTGACATCCTTTGATTCCCCCCCCCGTTTACTCATTTCTTACTTGCAAATAATTGGTTTACCATTGGTTAGTAAATGTTTAGATGTAGTACTTGATTTTAATAATATTTTCTCTTTTTTACGCTACTAAACAATTGTTTTTGTTGGTTACTTCTGGTGTGTGATCTGTCACTGTGACTAAAATAAGTTTCTGTGCATTGAAACTAACCTCTTATGCTGGGGTGTCTCATGCTTATCCCACCTCATAAAGCAGCATTTTAATGAGAAATGTGCTGTCTTATAAGGAATTCTCAAAGAGAATGTAGGCTTATCACTTGCTTCAGGTAAAATTGTGTTTTGTCAGAGTGGTACAGTCTGAGATAATCAGGACAAAAAAACCTTAGCATTTTCATTGCAAATAGTCCCCTAACTCCTCATGGTTTTGTTGCAAAACTGCTGTTATTTATGATCTGGCAAAAAAGTCAGATAGAAAATGAATAAAGAGCTCTGGATTTACTGAAAAATGAGACAAAGATTTCCTTCACTTGTTCATCCTTCAAAAAACTCATGATAATTAATGGATTTCAAAGATAAAAATAGTTGAAGCTTCATGAAGGGGTCATCTATCACTTGGAGCTTGTTGCTGCAAAGCTTACCTGCTTCTACTTCAGTAAAGTCTGTTTTGCCATGCAGTAGTACCTGGTGTTCTGAAGGAAAATAGGATTTTTTTCTGAGTGCTAGATTGCTGGTAGTGTTGATAAAGACATACAGGAAGGTGGAGAACTCAAATCTACCAGCTTCAAATACCACCTTTAGATACTGTAGAAAATTTATGCTACAAGGTACTCAGTATCAGATTTCTAGCTGAGTGCAGAGAGGTCTGTATCATATCACAAAGGGAATTTAACTGAGACATGAACATTTTGTGTTAATACTGCTAACAATTAACTGTTTTTCCACTTGAGAACTAAATGTTTCCAGACGAAAAATCTCCATTATTCCTAGATAAGTGATACTACTTTTTCCTCAGGTCACCAGTTTGTCTTACAGGCAGTAGCTTGCATTCATTATGGATTTCAACTTTTGGGATGGCTCACAAAAAGAAATCGCATGGACCTACAAAGCACATCTCAAGAAATATAACAAAGAGATTCTAAACAAAATAGATTGTATCTCCTGCCTTTAAAATTTAGGTCTGCATGAGTTCTTCTAACGGTTGTTTCAGCAATTTACTTTTGAGAACAATATTACTTTTTGGTTACAACTCTGAGCAGAGTCCTTTTTACTTCCTGCAGAGGAACATGTTTCTCTGCAAGGTATAGATTTTGATCTCATGGATCTGGTATTGGCCTCTATGACAGCATACTCTGCTTTTTACTTCCCTTTCCTTTAGAACAGCTTTTTCATAGTAATGAAATAAAAAACAAATGTTAAGAAAAACACTGAAACCTTTAGGAATTTTACCAAAAAAGCTGTTTCACTCTTGTTTAAAATCACGCTGTCCAAATTTTGTGGGGTTTTTTTCAAAACCAAGTTTAAACAAAGCTTGAGGGAAAACTGTGTGAGGGGAAAATGCTCCTCAGCATTTTGTTTGTTTGGATGAAAATAAGCTGCTCAGAATACTCTTCAGGGCATTTGTGTACAATGGAGATAAAGTTAAAGGACAGACTGGATCAATAGTGACTGCAGCTAACCCAGTGTCTCTCTGTTTTCAACTTAATTGAGGACTATAATCATACCTGTGATCATAAGGAAACAGGGAACCTCCCATGATTCTTCAAGGAATATTTCTCTACCAATCTCTGATAAGGTCTTTGGTTGGCTTGCAGTGAATTTGTTTGATCCATCACTTCTGTCATGGAGCTGTGAAAGTCCAAAGATATTTTACAACTGCTGTCAAATAAACTGGAACATACTCCTACATTAAGTGCTACCTGAGAGTTGTGAATGATAGAAAACGTAATGAGACAATTATTTGAATTTGAGGAAGTAAAAGGTTGCTTATTAGTTCTTTGTTGTCAATATATGTAGCTATTATGCAGCCAATATATGCAGACTTTCTAGTAAAAGAGTAGAAATACAACAACTACAGTAATGCAATACATCACCATATAAATATATACTATGTGTAACTATTTGAAAGATTACATTGCATGACTATCTTTCTCTTTTAATAAAAGACCTGTCTGTCATGGATTCTTTATGACAAAGAATCTTGCGAATGTTGGGATTACCTTATGGTTTGTTCTCTGTTTTGAGAATCAAGGAGATTCATAATGTAGGAATTTTCTCAGCATACAGTGCTTATTAAAAGAAATGAGTGGCAAAGCACATTTGATGCAGATGTCTTGCATATTTCTTTTCCAGCATGTTTTCTGGTAGTGCAGAAGTGTTTATTCCATGCTTGTCAAACAAAAAGCACTTTTTGTTGGACGATCCTAACCAGTATTCCTTTAATTACTCTTAACTGCAGAGAATATATAATTTTAGAAAGCCCACTCCAGGCTTTTAGGAGTTATCCATTTCGTATCGATTTCAAATGAATGACTTCCATATGCCAGAAATATAAAAATCTTTTTGTCTAAATATATGTTTTAAAACAGCAAACTTTAAAGATTTGTGTCTGAGATAAGGAAATAATACTTCCCAGGCACTTTTTTTTAAAAAAAAGATTGTTAATGATTTTAAAACTTTGGTACCTGAACTTACTTTGTTCATTCTTCCACGATTTTGGGTTTTTTAAGCTTTACCTTGAAGCTTAAACAATTGCATGTTTTTGGACATAGTTCTGAGACAATTTTATTTTTACCCTTTCAATTACATTAGATGTATCTTAATTTCATTTTATTGTGACTTCTATATTAATACGGATAGCATGGGAGATGGCATTGCATCTTTTAACTTTTCACTACTTGTATGAGTGCAAGCCCCACTTTTAATAATTTATAAATCCTTTGATGTGATTTCCTTTGATTTTTTTTCTTCTCCCTTTTTTTTTACAGACTGAAGGAGAGCAGCATGTCTTACTATAGAGTACCTGTGCACAGCTCTGAGTTTTCTCCAGCTCTTGTTGTTTTTTTCTCTAACATACATTAGTACTTAAAAAACCAAACTCTTAAGAAAAACTGGAAAAAATTAGTATATTTACAACTCAGTTTAATTAGATTATGCTTAGCACTATAGCTTTTTTCATTCTTCTCCAAACATGAAGATTATGATAACTTTATCCGTCTGTGAAAAAAATAATTACCCCAGACATTTACATTCTTAGTTACGAAGATCTACCATGAGCTTATCCAAAATTAAGTATGTACCCATAGCGATATTTATAGACCATGATTTCATTGACAGACATATTTAGATTGCATCTCTGACTCCAAATTATTCTTCTGATGCTTAACAGGTCAGAAAACTATTGTTCAGAGCTTTAGAAGTAATTGCTCATGTTAACACATTCTTCTCTTCCATTACACTTCTAGCTTTTCCATCATATCTAGTGCATTATTCAACATGATTTTACTTTTTTTTTTTAAAAAGCTGTCTGCTTCATAAATCGATAAACGTGACTGTAGTTGATGTAAGAATTTTTGAAAATATGGTTCTTAGTTGTATTAAAAACATTGCTCTTTCTGTTCTTTAATATTTAATTTGTGTCAGATTGTGTATTGCAGAAGTGAGTGCCCTTAGTACTTTGGGATTTAAAGTCACGTGTGAAAAGCTTTATTCCTGGAAAGTGTCTGTTTCTCGTCTTTTCTTTCACTCTGGCACAAACATGCCTATTCAGATTTTATAGGCATTTTTAATGAACCTAAAATTATAGGAAACTTAATGCAAATACTGTAGAAGACATCAGCTTCTGTTTCTGTGTCGTGACTGTATATGAAATTACTGGATTTGGTTGCATTACCACTATTAAGTACATTACATACCGTTTCTGTATGTGTATACTGAAAGTGTGGCACAGGTCATCCAGGCCCTTGGATTACTGCCCTCCTGTCATACGTTGTCATTGCAGTGTATCTGTTCTTGTACCTCAATAGTGATTGCTTCATTCTTAGGTACAGATTTGGTAATGGTTTTTTTTTTTTGCTTATAACCTTAATTTCTCTCCTGCTTAAATGCTTATAGAAATGATTAATGTTATGTGATGTAGACAATTCACTTGATGAGCTTTGTCGGCATGGATGGGAAATACGTCAGTTCTCAGGGATATTTTGAATGATATCTAGGTATGGGATGGGATCTCTGAAAAAAATAGTTAGTATTCCTTGGATAATGCTGTTTGATTGTCAAAAATGTTTGACAGAATACCCCCACAAAAAAGAAAGAAATGCAGGAGAAAAATTTTGATCTGGACTGCAAACTTTTAATATCTGCATGTGTACAGAAAGCTGTTAAACAGCTTTTTTAAATGTAAGTTTAAAAAAACCCTGAAGTTTTCTAACACATTTGATGATGCCTTTTGTAATTTAGTCCTAGATAAAACATGGATACATAAACAAAAGGTAGGTGAAACTATTGGAATACTACTGGAGCCCTTCGGATGAAAAAAACTTTGAATAGAAGAAATTAGGTGAGGGTAATTTGCTTGACAGTCATAAAAAGGATAATTTCCTGAAACAAATATAAGTTATTCTATCAATGCCATTTTAAATTTTTTTTAAAAATTCTTTTCCATATTAATATTATCTCGTGTTTTACAGAATTCTGAATGTCAGTTGAATGAAGAAATTATGGAGCACTCTAGGAGGGTGTTTCCCTCTGTGATAAAATACATTGTAGATATGCTTATCTGGGAAGAAGAAAAGGAACTGCCTCCGGAGCTCACAGTTAGGTAGTGACCTATTTCCAACTTTCTCTTCAGTCTCTTGATTGTAATTTTGCCTGGGGTATTCTCACCCTTGTGCTGACATATTAGTGCTGAAATCCCTGTAAACAGCACTGTGGTATTTTTGGCCTAGAGTTATATGGAGAAAACCTTTTGATGCTTCATGGGAAAAGTAGTGTATAACTGTGCTCCATCAATCACCAAAGGGAACTGCTCCTGAGCCAACCTGATCTGTAGTACAGTGGCAGGTCTTGGTGTACAGGGGAGGAAATGCCACGGCAGTGGAGAGACCTGCCAGGAGCCAGTAGGAGACATTGATGAGGCCTGTCCTAAGGGACAAGGGAGCAGAACAGAGCTGAGAATATCAAATAACTTAAAAACTTTTCTTTTGTACTTGATAAATGGTTTTTGTGGCTTTTTCTGGTATAGATGGTGGCAGGAGGCATGTCATTGTCATGAAGAACATACTTGATTTTTCGTTTTATATTTGATATTCCTCTCAAGCTATCAAGTAAACTGTTGCTTGTATTTGATAGGACACTATTTACAATTTTATTTTTATTTGTATGATGATATGTTACCTTTTTCCCAGTAGAGAGAAAGTAGACAGCTACTACTGTGTCCTTTTCAATGATGAACACCATTCTTATGACCATGTCATCTACAGCCTGCAAAGGGCACTTGGCTGTGAACTTGGTGAAGCCCAGTTGCATACTACTGCCATAGATAAAGAGGTTAGTGCCTTGGGATATGGGAGAAAGTCACCTTTTAATCATTAAGAATTGCCACTGTAGTCACTTGTTTATAGAACCTTTGCTTCTTGGTTGCTGGAGCTTGAAGAGAGAAAGGCACATTGCAGAGTAACTACTAGTCAGTGCCTGCTTTAAGAAAGTTTTGATTTTTTTAAACCATATTAGTTTGGGTTTTTTTCAAGACAAAAAGCCAGTTTCTTGAGAAAGGGAAGAGCTGATTTATCTGAAGTTACTCCTTTCATATTTAGTATATTTTCTTCATTTTTTTTTGTTTCTCAGCTGCGATTGTTTTATTTTAGTAGTATTTCTCTGAAAAATATACGAGTCAGAAATACACATATTCAGGTACATTTAATCAGAAATGTACCTTACATTTTGCAAGAGTTACTACTCGTTCTGGCTCAGACTTAATTTGAATTTTAACATTTTCAAAAAAAGGAAATAAAACGAGGAAGAATCCATGAAGCAATGTGGGGAAACCTGACAATTTTACTGCTGCATTTTTTGAATTAATATCCTGTGTAAAGACTTTATACTAGTAATGTGAACTTTTTTTCCAATGAGGCAGGGAAAAAAAGCATGACTGATGTTCTAATTATCTGAATTGTAACCATATTTTTTTACCTCATGGAAGTATAAAAAAAAGTTTGCACATGGAGAAACTTTGTCTAAAGCTGTACAGATATTTGTTGTATATTTACATATAAAACATCTTACTAATATCAGAATCTTTTTTTAATCTGTAAAAACTGTTTTCTGTTTGTTTCTCTTTGTCAAGTAATGAAAATTTAGTTGTATTTAGTTAGCAGGGTCAGTCTTACATAATTGCAAGTCTTGTTCTGTAGTTGCAGGTTTTGTAAAAAAATGTATACACATGCATGTTTATAGAATAACTTTCAAAGGTTTCCCTTATGAAAATTGCTTTTGATTTAAGTCTTAAGTTTTGGATCAAGAATTTATCAGGCTGTTCATTTTACTAAGTGCCTGCTACAGTACAGGACTAAGTTATAGCATTTTAATTTTAACAGTTCCACAACACAGAGTTACTTCCTCTCTTCTGGTGTGAAGTTCTGCTATGTGGAGAAATTGCTAAGGAAGCACATACTTCTTGTTTTCTTTGAGTGGAATTTGAGGTCTAAGCTGGACCTGTTCTTGGCTTTACTGAAAGAGCTATTAAACCCAGGTTTACAATATACCCTGGTATTTCATATTCAGAGGTGAGAAATTGTAGGAAAGATTGTAGAAAAGCAGTTCAGGATGAGTGTACTGTGTGCTAGGAAGAAAGTTGATATGGTTTGTATTTAAAGTAATATGTAGAAATCGTTCTCATCTGTTTTAATGTATACGTGAATTTTCCTTATCGAATAATATGAACATACCTAGACTTTCTGTTGTTAATTTAAATAGCTTTTTTCTGTAGACAATTATGTTAATTTTTATATGCTTCTAGATATCTAATAGCACCATGAGTGATGTTGGTCTCTGTTTTTCTGTTATGTAAAAAAAAGTAATAGAAAGGGTTAGACTTGTCACATTTTAGGTTTGCTTTATATTGGTGTCAATATTTTTTTAAACAGGGTCGTAGAGCTGTTAAGGCAGGACATTATGCCTCTTGTCAGGAAGCAAAAGAAGAAATTAAGGTAACTTCCTAAAATACTTTTCTCATTAAAAAAATCAACCTCATCAGTATTAATAGTGAAGACTTATTTGTCTGCTTTAAAGTCTTTACCTTAGTATTTCCATGGTTTTATAACTTGCCTGTGAACTTCTTAAAATTCAATTTACCCTGCCACATTTGGGATGGATAGATAAATAGATACATAGATAGATATCTTCAGAAATAAAACATCAAAATGTTTTCCTTTTTTGTTTGGGAGAGATAGTGGGTGGTGAAGATAAATAATGAAATGAATGTTACCTTGATTTTACAAGTACTAATATTTACCTGACTCCTAGAGGCATTCTGAAAATGTTTCTCAGCGACCACTTCACGTGGAAGTTCTGCACGCTGATGTTATGGCACACCAGAAGTTTGCTTTGCGCCTTGGTTCTTGGCTGAACAAACTCATGAGCTATTCAAGTAAGTGTAACTAATTTTTGTTACAATAATGCCATGGCAGTATTTGGATGACTAATTCTCTCAGAAATATCTTTAGCCACGTTGTATATGATATTACCTTAATTAAAATACTTTCATGTTCCTCCTAAGTAGTAAATAAATAATACAGTAGCATTTCAGCATCACACACCCTGTTATTTAAAAGCTGCTATCCCCGGTGCTGGTGGAAAGCTGCAGAACATCTCCATCAGTGAAAACATATATCCTCTGCTTGAATTAATTCCTGCTTCAGATTTGATAACTGTGATTAATTAGATAGTGTCAGTAAAATAAGCAAAATAAAGCCTTAATTGAAAACATTATGTAGTAGTGGAAAGTGTATTTTAAGCTTTCAAACATTGTTCTGGTGTTGGATGATGCTCATGGTTTTAAAGAAGATTTCTGAATCAAAGTACTTTTGATTTCGGTTACTGTTTTTTTCATACCTGTGCTTTACCACACTAAAGCTGTTATAAAATTTCTCTTCACAGTACAAATATGCATAGATTAAGCTCTACTCACTGCCTATCCTCCTTCTTGATAGGATAAATCTGGCTTTAGCCTCTTCTGCAAGGATAATAAAGTGAATTTCTTATCTTTTTCTTGTCTGAACACTTGCCAATCTTTCCCTTGAAATACATAGATCAGAATTCTTTATGGTAGCTTAGAAATTTTAGCTTTCTGTTCTTTTCAAATTTGTGGGTTTTTAATTTTAATTTTAAAATACTCTTATGCATCACAGGATTTATTAAATTAATCAGATAAGAATATTTGGGAGAAATTAGTAAAGAAAAGGGTATGTGGGAGTATATTCATTGAGAAAAAACATTGTTAAAAATAATTCATACTGAAGTGCCTTCTTTTTTTCTTCTTTTAAAGAACAGAATTCTGTAGTTCTCGTTTCTTGGGCCATATAATTTAATTATCAAACCATTCTTGTACAAATGAATAGTTTTCTCCCTATAGGTGACTTTCGCCAGATCTTTTGTCAAATATGTCTCAAAGAAGAAGCTGGATCTGAAAAGCCATGCTTTATAAGCAAGTTGATGCTATGGGATGCAAAACTTCATAAAGGTTTGTGTATCCATGTTTCTCTAAACTGAAGAGGCAAATTAATTTTTCATGTGTGTGTAACAAATGGATAAAAGTAAGTGCTAAGCAGGTAGAATTACATTTCTTCATAGTTATTATATTATGGGTTTTACACAGCCTTTATTTTTACAGCTGAGCTAATTGATATTTGTGCTATATATTTGCCCCCTCAATTTTTCCTGCTTTATGTATTTTGAAAAATCTTTTCACAAGATGTAGCCTTTGAGTAATTTGGTGCTTACTCAGTGTTTTAAATGCGTACTGATAAATGTCAAAACCAGAAAAAAATAACTTTCCTCATATACTTTGTAACCATTCCAAGATTTGTAAAGATTTTTAATTAGTTTAGTAGTTGGTTCCTTTTTTCCACAAAAAGCTGCATTTTAGTATGACAAAGTGACGTGCAGTGTATTTGCTTTTTGCAGGGGCAAGAAAGGTTCTCCATGAGCTTATCTTCAGTAGTTTTTTCATGGAAATGGAATACAAAAAACTTTTTGCTGTGGAATTTGTGAAGGTAAATGGTTATTTAGTTTTTATACTATGAATTTGTACTAGCTTTGTAAAATTTCCCCCCAAACTGAAAATTGCTTCAATATAAATAATGAATTTTCAAAAAGCAGAGCGTTAATAACTAGCTCAGCCTTTATAGAATGCAATTAATTAATTCCCATGTCACTGGTTTGTTCCTTAGAATCATGTAGGTACATATACTTATTTGAATGCTGTTAGTATTCCATGTATTTTTTGACACGGCAGGTGAACTGAACTGAAACTGGCCTTTCTTTTTGAAAATTAGATACAATAGTTTATAAATATACAAAACGTAAGACAAAGCGTTTTTTCTTTTAAGGTGAGACCTTTTAATTCTGATAAAGACGATTGACATGTTATGGTTTTCTCTGGACTGAAACAAAGCAAACAGACTTGTGTTACTCATTGTACAGACAGCTGTTGAATAACTATCCATGCAGCTCACTGCAGGAGGAAGATTTGTTTTATAATAAGTTAATTTCTATATGGATTTTTTTTCAGATATTAAATATCTTTTCTTGGGGAATATTGGTTGTAGGAGAAAAAAAATTTTGGTTCCAGTCTGACGAATCAGTTAAATTTGTGCTTATCTTCAGTATTAAGACAGTGGGGCCTATACTGAATTGCTTTGGTGCATTGAGGACATTGTACTCTTTCTGTAGTCTGAACTGCTTCTATTAGGTAGGAAGAGGACACTGAGATGTAATTCTTGTAAATAAAAAAGTAAGCATTTTTATTAACATTGGTTTAATGTCCCCAATATTATCTTTTTCTAGTATTACAAGGCATTGCAAAAGGAATACATTAGTGATGATCACGACAGAGTTCTCTCTGTGACAGCACTCTCAGTTCAGATGTTCACTGTACCCACTCTGGTATGTACAGCCTGTCTCTGCAAGAAATGCAAAACAAGTTTGAGAATTGCTAGCAGTACCACCTTTGCAGACTGTTGTTCTTGGCAGAGAGTCTTTATGCATTGCTGAGTTTGAATATGAATGATTTTGGGATTTGTTACAGGCCTGTATGAAAGCAGGAGCTTGAGTTGATACGAAAATTCATTACAGAACGTAGAGGGAATGCAAATAAGTATAAGTTTTAGGCACATCATAGTCTGCATTAACTCTGTATTTATTTACTATTCACATTTACCTTCTTATGTAACCTTAAAAATGGGGCAAGGGAGTAGAAAATTGTTAAATGTCTTTTTGTGGGGGTGAAATATGTTAAATTCTCTGTGTATGTGGAAATATACCTGTAGGTTTTAAAGGTTATGTGTTTCTTGCCTAAAATACTAATGTAAAAGTTCTTTCCTGCATGATCTTTCAAGAAAAAAATCAACATATCCATTATATATAGTTGCTGTCAGAGTTGAACAAACATACAGTCGATAGCAGCTATATTCCTACATAATAAATACTGAGGTTTTTTTATCTTGGACTCTTTGCAAATGCTTAAAATAATTTCTAATCAGAAAGACTGAATTCAAAGAAAAAGTATTTTGCCAATTCTCTTCAACAAAATAGTAGGAAGAAAAAATTTTCATTTTCTTCTTGCAGGCCCGACATCTTATTGAAGAGCAAAATGTAATCACCACCATTACAGAGACACTCCTAGAAGTGCTTCCAGAGTACCTAGACAAAAATGACAAGTTCAACTTCCAAGGCTACAGTCAGGACAAACTGAATCGGGTATATGCAGTAATATATGACCTCAGGTAAGCGTAAAGCTGAGATGCTAGAGTAATTCTAAGAAAACTGGTAGTAGGATGAGGTGTTTCAATTCAGAAACTGATGATAAAACTGCTTTAAAACCAAACCCCAAACCAAATCCCTCAAAAACACACATGAAATTTTAATGGAGTTTTTTTCAGCGAAAACTTAAAATACCAAAATTTTATTCTATAAAGACATTTTGATTTTTACTGATACAATTGCATATAACACATTAATAAATAAAATATATCTAAGTATGGGAAATTCGGCTCCTATTCATTGTCATTCTGAGAAAGCTGTATAATCCTTATCTGCATAGGATTTTCTACTCAGACAGGTACCAAATTAGTCTAATAAATTGAGTAATGTAAAAGCAAGCCACCCCAAATACCTTGGAATTTAAAAAACCTGTTAACTTCAAATTATGGAGTCACACCAAACTACTAGCAACTCTAGTATTTGGTGAAAGTTTTCTGAGTAGTTTGAGGTGGGGAAGGTGATGTAAATGTGACAATGCGGTTGATTGTATTAAACCAAAAAAACACTTGAAATACAAGCATAAGCAGAAGAGAAGTCTGGCTAAGGATGATAATGTTTTCTTTGGGGACAGGTATGTCTTAGTCAGCAAGCCTACATTATGGACAGACCGCCTGAGGGAGCGTTTTTTGGAAGGATTTGTTTCTTTCCTAAGGATTCTAACTTGCATGCAGGTACAATGCATTTAAATAATTTCTTTCTAATATTCTATTATAGAGGTATTACAGCTTTTCTGTTTGTTTCTCTTTTTGTCCATAACAATATTGTGGATATAAACATGCAATTACGGTGGCAAATTCTTCAGTCCCTGTCTTCGGTGGGTGAGAAAGTTGTTTACTTTACAGAAATAATACCAGGTTTAGCTACATGTATCCAAACAACCTGGATTTTACCATTTGCTTGTGGGATTTTGTGTTGTTTTAGGCCTATGATCACTGATTTAGCTTGAGTATTTTGTGAAATCTCCATTTCAGGGAATGGAAGAGATAAAAAGACAGATTGGCCAGCACATTGAGGTGGACCATGACTGGGAAGCAGCTATTGCTATACAGATGCAGCTCAAGAACATTCTTTTGATGTTCCAGGAGTGGTGTGCCTCTGATGTAAGTATATCAGTTTCCTGGGATTCTTACAAGCGTGCCTTCTGTGAATATTCCTCGGGGATTTTTAAATAGCAGCTTTTTTAAATAGCTCACTATTGTTCAGTATAGTTTTCACAAAAAAATGAGTCTGAGAGAATTAATCTACGCTGTGACAAAGAGAGAAAGGATGGACTGCATGATTTGTAAATATAACATATGCATTTACTTTAAATTCTAGGAAGAGCTGTTGCTCAGGGCCTACAGAGAATGCCATAAAGCTGTGATGAGGTGCAGCACAAATGGTCGCTCTCGGGAAAAGACAATGTTTCACTTATGTGGCCATACCCTGGAGAGCAGACCTTACAGAGTGTCTGCAGATCCTGTCAGCATACATTTGCCACTGTCAAGGACTCTTGCTGGTAGGTGGTGTATTTTGATTGCTCTTTAAATTGTGTTTATCATCCATCTGTATTTCTTTACTCCAAAAGGCATTTGGATTCAGTGTTTCACAGATGAGTTGCTCTCTGGCTTTCTGACATTCTTGTGATAAGGCAAATGTGTTCTTTATGTGTCCCACTGCGGGAAAGTTTTTCTGAAAAAAACATTTGCCATAGAGGCTGGAAAATGGTTTTTTTTAAACAGGAGAGAGAGAAAGAAGACAAGAAGGAAATTTTTCCCTTTTTAATGAGATCATCAGTTTTCTCTGGATTATTTGAATTTATGTGGTTCTGTTTCTATTTTTCTACTTGCTTTGTCTAAATGAATATTCATTATTACTGTATCTCAAATTTATTTTCCAGCCGTGTATATCTTAGGACTGTTAAAATGCTCCTCCTAAAAGACATATGTTTGCACCATGCCAGGACAGATTTCCAGTCACAATACAAAGGACCACAGCAGTGGGTGATCACCACTTTCTGTAGAAAACAAATGAAATCATGTACTATTAAGCTGTAGATTCTTTATCACATCATTTGATATCAAGATACCATCTGTTAAGCCTTGTAGTCTTGAAATTCATTTACTACTGACATGTGATTTAAATGTGAAATAAAAATTTTGCTAATAAATGGTGTTAATTCACTCAATGAGTAGACTGGTGAGAACTGTTGTGATAATGTAGATCTTCTATCTTAAAAAAAAAAGTGAACTGTGAAGTCTCCTAAATAAACTGACTTTTTTCTGTAATTCTCTGAGATGTAGATGATTTAGCTAACTTTTAGAAAGAGTTGGAGGAGAACCTTCACCGATTTTGATTTATTTTCTAATTTTTCTTCCTGTTGGTTTTTGTAGGTCTTCATGTACGACTAAGCAAGACGGGAGCCATCTCAAGATTACACGAGTTTGTTTCTCCTGTAAGATTTTTTTTTTTCCCCCCTCAAATGCTTCTTGTGATTTATGCTCTAGGAAGAAAAAGCTTAAAATTATATCCTGTAACCTTCATGGCTCACATACAAGTTATTTTGCAGCTGTCAATATGTCTTTGTTCACTAGAACTTACCCTTCTGAAATCGTGAACAGACTTATTGTTAGTTGGTTTTTTCTTTTTTCTATTTTTTCGTTTTTAAATTCTAGGAAGAATTTCAAGTGGAGCTGCTAGTAGAATATCCTTTGCGATGTCTTGTCTTGGTGGCTCAGGTTGCTGCAGAGATGTGGAGAAGGAATGGACTCTCTCTGATAAGCCAGGTACTCCCTTACCATATTCAGTGGCAAGTTGGTCCTAAGGTGTATGCAAAGGTTTCTCAGTCATGCTCCCAGGGATGGTTTCATCCAGTGCAGAGAGGGGTCACAGGGGTCACTCCTACACTAAATAGAAAGCTTTCTAGGTGGGCATTTAGATTACTTGGTTTTATTTCCAGCTTCAGTAATGGCTTGCCTCCTTCTACCCTGCCTTAGATAAGTATTTTCATCTCTGTTATGACTGTTTCTTACTCTTTGAAACAGTAGGGATGTGACCAGTGTCTACTTGTAAGCTACTTTCAGATCTCATAATCACTGCTTAAGTACTGTTAGTACTGTTGTTAGAAGTTTCTCTTGGTGTATGGAAATTATTACATGCAAAAGTTAAACTATTTCAGTATCATTGTTTTGAGAGCCATATAGCTGGACATACAAACATTTTCTAATACTTGGGACTTTTATTGCAAAACTAAACATAAAAGGAAGAGTGTAGCCTTGCATTTACCTGCTTTGGCTTGACTTGGTTTTTTTTTTTTTGTTCCTTTGATGACAGAAATTCTCTGCTGATTTTACATGGGACCCTTTGGTGAAATCAAAGTAAATATTGGTAGCACCCTGTAGAATTGTCTTGCTGAGAACTGGGGGAGAAGGAGGATCTTTCTACTTTAATCAGTAGCAGCCATTAGAATTATGTTCTCTTGGAATGGGGTATGAAGTATGGCATAGACTTTCTCTGCATAGGTGAAAAACCATTTAGCACTTCCATCAAAGTACACATTTATTTTGAAAGAAATATGGACTTTTCTCAGTAATGATGTGGTACAGTTTAAAAAAGCCTCAGAGATTAACTGGTGCATATTTGATAGTGCGTTAGTTTATATCTCTACTTAAGTTTTGTTTTCCTGTTTCTCAGGTATTCTATTATCAAGATGTTAAATGCAGAGAAGAGATGTATGATAAAGACATCATCATGCTCCAGGTATAATGTTTTGAATCATTGCTTTCTTGTCTTATAAAACTTTCATGGAATTTTAAAAAAATGTAATTTTTAAAATTTATATTAATTAAATTTGTATGATTCTAAATTTTTTGTCTTGGTGAAAGGCAATTTTATTTTAATGACTGGATAACTGTAATAGTAACTGATGTTCTTATTAGTTTGGTTTTTTTGATAGATAGGTGCATCTCTTATGGATCCAAACCAGTTCCTCCTGTTGATGCTGCAGAGATACGAGCTTGCTGATGCTTTCAAAAAGATCAAACCCACCAAAGATCAGGTAAGTAGCAAGTTTTCCTGATGGGTAGTTTGTCAGCTTTGAGTGTACAAAACATTACTAAGACAAACTAGCTACTGTTGATAGCTGCATTTTTATGACCACACTAGAACTCAGTAAACACCGGAGCTAGTGGTTAGACAAATGATTTTGTATTTGGAATTTGTAGAGGCTTACTCAAAATTAGCAAAGAGGTTTTGCTCCCTTTGACCTTTATTTCATAGAGCGTCTACCAAAATCCGTGTAAATAACTTCACTATAAAATTTCTACGTCTCTTAGGCTATGTTACGTGCTTTTATTTTGGCTGGAAGTTTCTTAGGTTGTTAAGCTACTTCTTGAGGCTTGAACTTTGATATAACCCATACTTCTTTAGCTGTTGTTTCTTTTCCTACCTGTGAATCTTGCACTTCAGTTGCTGAGTAAAACCTCCTCTACAAGTGCAGACACTTTTTCCGGCTTGTTGGAAGTTTCTTCTTAAAGTACAGTGCTTCACTGAATTAGTAGATCTGAAGGCTGAGCTCAGTGTCATTTGACGGATTTTCCTGCAGTTTTATGGTTTTTTTTTAAACTGATTTCTCTAACTCTTGTAGGATTTAATCAAACAATATAACATTTTAATAGAAGAGATGCTACAGATTCTCATCTATGTTGTGGGTAAGTTTCAGTTCTCTTGTTGTAGAAATAGATTATTAATTTGACAAAATCATCTTGATGACTTTCTTTAACATAGATGGTATGGAGAGTATACTGGAGAGTGCCTATTTTAAATATGTGATTCAGTAACACAAATATTTGTCAACTGGAAACAATAGGGGTTGCATAGTGGAAAAGGTTGTTAAATAACATCATAATTGACGTTAAAGTAGAATATGAAGAGAAAGTCCATCTTGGCCCATTTTGTTAGGAAGCTAGGCTTTTTCACTCTCATGCAGTTGGGACAGGTTTCTGACAAATGGAAATACTGAAACATGCCAGCAATAGCATTATCGCTGCAGAAAATTCAGATTTGCTTTATACCTGTTATATTTGCCATTCTCCTTTTGATTCACTCTGACAGGGGAAAGATATGTTCCTGGAATCAGCGATGTGACAAAAGAAGATGTTATAATGAGAGAGATCATCCATCTGTTATGTATTGAACCAATGGCTCACAGTGCAATTACTAAGTCTTTGCCTGAAAATGTGAGTTCTGATTTATTTACATTTTCCCTTCATTTACTTTTTCTTGGTTTGTCTTTCTTCTTTAGCTTTCTTATCTTAATATGGAGGCATTTTATTTCTGATTAAAAGCTTAAACGTTGGTTTCAGAATTACAAAATAACATGACAAAGTGGCTTACACACGTTACTGATGGTAAATGTCATAATTTCAAGTATGGATGGATCTGGAAAGGCTTATATGGGACTTATGGTTTTTGATTAAGAGGTGGAATTTTTTAGAATATTCAGATATAGTTCATAGAATCGTAGAATCAACTGGGTTGGAAAAGACCTCTGAGATCACCAAGTCCCACCATTGATCCACTACCGCCGTGGTTACTAGACCATGGCACTAAGTGCAACATCCAGTCTCATCTTAAAAACCTCCAAGGACAGAGAATCCACCACCTCCTTGGGCAGCCCAGTCCGGTGTCTGATTACTCTCTCTGTAAAAATTTTTTTCCTAATATTCAACCTAAACCTCCCCTGGCACAGCTTAACACCGTGCCCTCTTGTCCTACTAGTTCTCCTAGATTCAAAAAGAAAACTTTTAAAACTTTCTGTGTTGGCCCTATAGGACCATAGGGCTGAGTTCCATTCAGCCCTATGTGCCATCAGTAAATTTGATCCTATAATTTTGATCATTTAAACCTGTGCAGATCAGTTCAAAGTCGGGTATTGTACAAATCTATTTGAAAAGACAGGTTTCCCGGTCGTTCTATTCCAATTGCTGAAAATTCAAGCAAAGCAGGGAGATGTGGATTAGATTTTATAGTCTGTGCAAGTTTTCAGGGCTGGCAGTTAATGCAAAAAAGCTACAGTTTTATTGTAAATTAAATACCCTGGAATATTATCATAATATCCACATTCACAGTTTTAAAATAACTGAACCTCCATTTTTCCCTCCATTGAGTTTGGATGAGCGCTGCCCTGTTTCTAGAGATCAGCTCGATTATTAATAAAGTTTTACATGATTAACTGAAAATATTATCCATTTCTGATACTTCCTTGGAACTTGTCAATTATGAATTTCTGCTTTCTGATTAACAGCGGGCAAAATATATTAATTCATGAATTAGGGAATTATCTAAATCTGTTTGCCTATTTTTATTATACATAGCGTAATACTGAAGATATTTATATATTTATTCCAAACTAAATTTTTTACCAGGAGAACAATGAAACTGGCTTGGAGAATGTAATTGATAAAGTGGCTACATTTAAGTAAGTTCTTAATGTTGTTTCATAAGTAGCTTGTATGTGAAGTAAGATCTCTTAGATTATGTGGGTTAGACAAGCTGAACTGTACAGTCTCTGTTCAGCTAATATTTTACTGTCTTGAAGTATATGTTTGCAAGTATGCATAGGAAAGAAAAGTGTATGGATTATCCTGAGGTACTGCTGCTTCTCTCCTTTTGCCACCCTTTTTCCTCAAATTCAGTTTGAGGAGTCTCAGGAGTTTAGTAGTCTCATGTCCTAGAATGTTCAAAAGGGTTTGGGGTTTTTTTTATTGTTGTTGTTGTTTTTTCCAAAGATGGCTAGGAACATTAACAACTGTCATTGTACCCTTGACAATTGCCATCTAATAATTGGTTTAAATGTTACTTAGTTGCTAACTTTCCATTATTTTCAGGTGGAAGTTAATTTTATATACATGTGCATATGTATGTGCATGCAAATATAGAACTATCAATTGTAGTAGTTGAGAAAAACTAGTTCAAATGTCTGCTATTTTTGTAAGAAAATTATCTTGTTTTAATTATTTTAGTATACTTTATTTTAAATTTCATATGACTTGCTTTTTTATGTTTAATTAAGAACAACTATAGATGTACCTAGGCATTTTACTTTGAGAATTATATGGATAGTTTAAAAAATCTCACTGGAAAGTAGCTGTTTGTATTACTTGTTTTGTAGTTTGGTTAAAGAAAGGAATTAATTTTATACAATAACATCCAGTGTCTGAAATTCTAAGCCATAAAGTTTAAAAGAATTTTCAGAGGCTATATTGTGTACTTTAGATGATGTATAGACTAGAAATGGTTTGCTGCTCTAGGAATTAACAGTAGTAAACAGTCTTGAAAATTAAGGACTGATAAATGTACTCACTCCTCGCTTTTTGTAAGTTAATGAAGTAACCATCACTATTGCACTTGCGTTAGAAAATAAATTGTGTTACTGGTTTGTTTACATTTAAAGATGTGCTGAACATACCTTACTAATTTGTATGTCATGAAATATTTCTCTATAAGGAAACCAGGTGTCTCTGGCCATGGAGTTTATGAACTGAAAGATGAGTGCTTGAAGGAATTCAATATGTTCTTTTATCACTATACTAAGACCCAGCACAGCAAGGTAAGCAGTGGAAGATTCACTCTCAAAGGTTAAAAAATAGCATACACTTATCAATGTCTAAAGAATTTTATTGTATCAAAGGAGGCAATGAAATGTAAAGGAACTGATTCAGTAAAGAGTATACGCTGCGAACTTTAAAACTAAATGTTTAATGAAGTTAAGATTGTCAATACAAAAATTGACAATGGTTTGCATTAGTATTTTGTTTGCAATTGATATTTGGTTTGCATTAGTGTTTCCCCTATGGTGACTCCTGTATTAACTCTGTTAACTCTTTATGCTAAGAACAAAATATGATAAGAATTACCTTTGTACTAGGAAACCCCAAACTTTGCTTTTGTAACTCTTATTGAGGAAGCAAATGTGTCCAATTATTTATCTCTACTACAAATTTAAATGCAAAATGCGATGTTGTTAAACAGATTTCAGATAAAATTCTCGTTAGACAACCAGGTATTCACTATATATCTTGCCAGATTTCTAGTGTAGGGTTTCTCATGCTTTCATTGTGTACTTCTGTAGAGGTGCTGATACAACGACACTGCTTTTTCTGTAGGCTGAGCATACACAAAAGAAAAGAAGAAAACAAGAAAACAGGGATGAAGGTAAAAATTTGAAACTCATGACTCAAAATATGTGATAATTTGGTAGTGTATGTACTTGTATGTGTATAATGAGCTTTGGGAGATGTCTTGTGACTTAATTGTGGATAGTTGAGTTCATCTTAGATTTGTTGTTATTTGTAGTAATTGTAATTAATTAGCACCTGACATTTCTTTTATCATTTTTACTTATCTAAGACAAAAATAGGAGTTTAGAAATTTTTGGTTTAATTTCCATACAGACAAACAAACAGATTGTAGTACCCACTGATAAACCCATGCACAGCTCAGAGTTTCTATGGTGAAGTAACAAAGAGGCAAAAGTTTCTAGATTTTTTTTTTTAGTGAGTATTTTCTTTAGCTCAGTGTTGAGAAATAATAATGCCATGTAGATTAGGTTGTTGCAGGAACTAGTGCTCATATCCATTCTGTAATACAAGAATGAGACTTTAAAGTTTAATAAATAATTTTTTTTATAAGCTATGAATACATAAAACAATAAACCCCCGTGTTTCTATTGTCACACAAATATTATTTCCCTTTCGAGTCTACTTTTACCCATTCAAGTCACAAGCCTTAATTGAGTTGTCTTGAGGAAGACTTGATAAGCTGAACAAATAAGTACAACGAACAATTCAATAAAATCAACTGTCACCTGCTTTTGTGAGTTGCAACAGATGTAACTATTTTTTCTTCCCAGGTTGCCCTTTCAGTTGAATACCTTAATCTTTACTTCCTACTCTAAAGTGTATTTTGATTTTTGTGTATGATCACAGGCACTATAGCATTTCATACCTAAGATGGTTAAAATTAATTCTTATGAATTTTATTTGCTTGAGGTTCCTTTCAGTTGAAAAACTATGGAACTGAAAAAGAATACATTGGCATTGTCATTTAGGAGGGACACAGTTGAATTGGAAATCACATTCTTTTTGGAAAAAAATATCTTTCAGTTGTAACTCACTCAGAGGATTATTACAGCTGAAAACTAATGAGAGGGGGAAAAGGGGTTTGAATGCCTTTTGGTTTCTTCCTCCACTGTTCATTTATACAGTTGACGCATTTTCAGCAGCACCTTCAGAATTCCTGCCTTCCCCTTTCACTTTGGCAACTCTAAGACATTATCAGGGGTATTGGTTTTGTAGAACTTTAAAAAAATGCAGTTATTTAGATGTAATTGTCAGAAACTCACATTCATATAATTGGGTAGTGCAGTTCCAAAATAAAAGGATAACTGTTTACATTTGATGTGTGTTCCCCTGAGGCTACATGTTCTGTTGCAAGCACTTCCTGCATATTCTCTTATGTGACTGTGTTGTCTTTGTCAGTAACTTGTTATAATTCATTCAGTCTAAATTGTCAAAAGATTGATAGTTAGAGACACTGCATTCACAGAGGTTTTCTGAAAATAGGCATCCAGGTGCCAAAAGAAGACTTAAGTCAGTGCTTCCAGGTAGGAAAAGACTGTGGCATTAAATAAGCTGCTGTTAGTAAATGCTAAGGTTCCAGGTAGCTTCTAGGAGAAGCTACCACATCACACAGTTTCAGTATTAGCTCAGAAAATGTACATAGCTAGAAATGATCAGAATTCCCCTGTAGAAGAAAGAATTTAGAGCTCCATACATGTGACACTGTAGTATTAGACTTTGGAAGCTCTACTGCTCACTTTTGTTTAATGACTTAAAGACATTATATCTGATGCAAAACACAAACTATATGTTTAATAGTAATACATAAATCATAAGACAGTGCAAAGTATTAAAGATTTGCATTTACAGATACAACTAAGTACTTGTGATCGATTGTTTAGCTTGCCTGTGGTTTATATAAGAACTTAATTTTGGTTTATGTAAGTACTTAGTTGTGGTTTATATAAGTACTTAGCTTTGCTAAAGATGACATGTCTTAGGTGAACAATTGTGTTTGTCGTTGTTTTATTAATTCAGAAGTCCAGTTTTTCTTCACTGAAAGTAGTATTTTTGTGCTCTCTACTTTTTGCCTGCAGTCTTGGGTGGAATGCCAGCTCAGTAATATATTTGCACATCTCTGTTTTCTAGCACTGCCACCACCTCCTCCTCCAGACTTCAGTCCTGCCTTCAGCAACGTGGTGAGGATTCTGAACTGTGATGTTATGATGCACATCCTGCGGACACTTCTTCAGAGGGCAGTGGAACTGGAAACCCACTTGTGGACTGAGGCTATGATTCAAATGGTATGGTCAGCCTTAGGCATCTTGCTATGGCCATTCCTGTACTGACCGTGTTAACTGCTTATGATAGGATTAAAATACGTAAAGGTAACTTTGAAAGATAAGGATTTAGTTTTTGTTCCCAAACCTTCTTTTATAAATCTTACTGATGAAGAAAATATTTCTAATTATCTATCTCCATTGTAAAATAAAAACACTGTACACAGTAATATTAAATAGGAAATATTCTCCAATTTTCTATTTTTCTTTCCTACCTTTGTTGCCTGATCACTGAAGCTGTTTCAATGCGTAATCCTACTTACCTCATCTTTGTCTTGAAACTTCATGTGCAATTAAGTCACCCTTTGATAATCTTAAAGAAATTGGAGTTGCTTCATTTTATAAGCACATAAATGTCTTTGGGGCCTCAATCATGGAATAAAGTAATTTTTGTAAGTATTTCATTTTACCACAGTGACTTTATGCTTTAAAAAAAAAGGAATTACTGACACTGTTGAAAGGGGTTTTTTTGGGTGGTTGGTTGGTTTGTTTGTTTTTGGAAGTTGTTTTTTTAATATTTATAGAATTATATATAGACCTGAATTTACAGATTACATGAAATAATCAGTTTTGTTCATTAGAGTGCATGGATTGTTTAATTGCTTTGCCTTACCTGCTAATTTTTGGATTATGGAATTAACCAAATATAGATTTATATCAGCAAAAAGACAAGCTTCACATTTTACTACTGTGAAGAGTGTGCAAGTTTATTAATTGTAGTGCAACTAATACACAGTAAATTTATATTGGGCATTTTTATTTCACTTACCATATATGATCTCTGCACTTTTTCAGGTGTTTTATCATGAATATAATCAGTATATCATACAGAACTATATTAAACGCTCTTATTATATACGCCAGTTTTCCTTATCTCTAACATTGGATGACACTTGGTTTTTTTCTCTTTTTTTCAGGTGCTCCATCTCCTTTCTTTAGGGTTACTAGAGGAGAAGCAGCAGTTACAGAAGTCTCCAGAGGAAGAAGTATCCTTTGATTTTTATCACAAAGCAACACGTATGTTTTATTTTCTAAAATAAATAAACTAGAAGAAATTAATCAGTGATTTGAGTCAGAAAGATTTTACTTTTTGCTTTATATTAAAACCTGATAAAATAATTTTTAAAAAATAATCAAGTAACTGGGTTTGGACTAGCTTCCTTTGTTCCCAGTTGTCAGGTATATTGAAGAGGATATGTGTTTCTCTTTGTGGGAAAGAAATTGAAAGTAATATTAGTGTTACATAACTGAAAATGGTTTTCCCTTCACAAGAACACCATTGAAATGGAAACTAAGAAATCCTTAAAAAATGGCAGTGGATTTAAGTAAACTGTCTCCATCTTTTGTACTCCTGAGCTGTACCAGTATTGAATTACCTGCAAGTTACTCTTTTACTATTGTAGTGATAATAGAAACAGAAACTTAGTGGCTGTGGACTGTGCTTTTTTCTTTTTCAAATCCCTACTAAGCAGTTCCTAATCTTACACTCAAGACTAGTGAGCGGGCATTGGAATCTGCATTTTCTAAATAATCTCTCATTTTATTTAGAGTTTCTGCTTCACTGTGTAAGAACAAATAAAAAAAATCCATTATCAAACTAAACATAATTGTCACTTGTGAGGTGCAACAGAGATAAGAATTGTTTAGATTGGAAAAGACTGTTAAGATGAGTAAATCCAGCCGTTAACCCACCACTGCCAAATGCATCACTAAACCATGTTCCTAAACATCATATCTATGTGTGTTTTAAATACCTCCTATGTGAATAAAAGTATAAAACTACTGAAGTGCCTTTATTTAGTTTTTAAAAAATGTTGTGTTTGAAATGTGAGTTTGAAAAATACTCTTATTTCACTTTATATTTTAATTTTTTCTTATTGTTGAGCAAAGAGAAGTGTCATCTTAAGTCCATCTTAGATGGAACGTATTTCCATATAAGAGGCTTCATGTCAACTATAGGCATAAATTCAAATTAATTAGATGCTAGAGAATGCTTTGCCACCTTTAGTTTTGCATAACTGGAAAAACCAAAATCCCATTTACATGTAAAGGATGCAAAAATAATCAGTATTTCTGTAAGAAGGCTCTTACAGAGAAGTGATTTAATAAAAAAAAAAAATTGGTTTTATAATGTATTTGTTTCCTTACTAAAAATGTGCAAATTAATTTCTTGTAGAATGTGCTGAAGTAGAAATATTGTTGAAGGGAATGGTCTCAATTTTAAAGCATTCTTGTGTTAGAGAAGGGCCTAGAACGCTATGAGCTAGTCACCAAGTTGTAAGGAAGGAAATAATTCCTGTAATAATAAGAGTTTGTGGGATGAAAATAAACTTTTGCAAGCTAAGCTGTTAGCAAACTTAGGTAAGCTACAAGAGCTTTATTGCTTCCCTTGGAAGTGAAAAGCAATTCTTTTTTAAGCAGAAATTATTAAGCAAAGATTTTCTAAAGCAGAAATTACTGATCTACAAGGGGATAGATTATACTTTATATAAATGAAATAAACAGATGAAATTAAACGAGAAAAGTAACTAGACAGGTTGTGTTCATGTATGTGTGTTATATAATTAGCAATACTTTAAGGCATGTCCATGGCTGTAAATACATGAAGTCCCTTTTCTGTTTTTCACTTTGTAAAGGAATGGGAAGCTCAGCCTTAAATGCTGTGAATGTATTAATGCTTCTGGAAAAATTGAAGAGAGTTCCTCAGTTAGAGGCACAGAAGGACACAGTCAATTGGATACTGCAGGTACACAAGGGAGAGATAAGTATGATCTGATTTCAGTAATGAAAAAGCTGTTATGAAAGATGTTATGATTCCCACATACAATCCGGTGTTTACAGCTGCAATGATTTCTCGAAGTTTAATGTATTGCACCATTTTTTTCCTCCAGACCAGATGGCTTCTTGAATACTGTGTTAACACTTAGAAGTTACTGTACTTGCTTTGCTGATTTCAAGAGCTGGGTCAATCTTTGCTTAGAAAGGGAGCTTTAAAAATTATTTAGCTCCAACCCTCCTGCCATGGGTAGGGACACCTTCCATGAGACCAAGTTGCCCAGGGCTCCATCCAACCTGGCCAAGAACACTTCCAGGGACAGGGCATCCACAGCTTCTCTGGGCAACCTGTTCCAGTGCTTATATATTGCATTATTGTAATTGTATTAATCTATACTGTAGTAAGAGCCAAGTTGCATTTTGTTTTTAACATCTAAGTCTCTATTTTTAGATGTTTGACATGGTGAAAAGACTGAGGGAAAAATCTAGTTTAACAACAGTAGCAACTGCATCGGCCTCAGAAGCTGCAAAAGGTGATGAGGTAATAATAAAAATAAAAGTTCAATGGAAGCCTTGTATTTAATGTTTTAAATGGCTGTTTTCAATAATGAGACTAAATTCATTGTTGCCTAAAATGCAAATTTTTAAAATTGATTTCTGATATCTTGTCTACAAATAAGATTTTAGTTTCAATAATAATATTTTTAATAAATGAAATTTGTGCTAAACATGTTTCATGGAATTATCAGCAGCTAATGTGTGGGTTTGGTTGTACTTCCAAATTAAGTGAAACAACTGAGGGGGGTGAAGGAAGTAATTTGTGTTCATCTTTCCATTTCTTGTCTTTATGATCTGACCACCTTTTCTATTATATTGACATTGTACAGTAATTAGAAATACAAATCCACTTAAAGTGATGTCTTGTAATTTATGTGCCCTGTCAAGAGGTTAATCTGCTTTGCCTGATTGTGTAAAGACATGAGGCTTAAGTATTTATTCTGTCGATCAGTCTCTTTGCACTTCGCTCAAAATAACATTTTAATCCAGTGGTCAAGTGACACAACGAAATGGAGATTTCAGAGATTACTACAGTCCCATTTTCAAGTTGGCAGTTGAACAGAAGAGAATCTATTTACCCTTAGACAGTATGCAAAGACAGGCTAGTTTGCTCTTACGCATTTTGTTTGGCGACAGCTTGCTGCCAAACAATCTCTTGGCTGGTCATTGCATGCATAGCTCTAAACTTATCACAGCATATGCTGTGTTTCTTTTTTGAGGTAGGTGTCATATAGTATCTGGTAAGGTGTCAAACAAAATACAGAAGTCGGTAAGAAATTAGTCTCTTACCGTTCCACTGCTTGTGGAGCAATTTGTTGTTGTTTGATTTCTTCAAAAAGTAATGGTGTTGTCAATGGAAGCAATGTTTATAATGTTGAATTTGTCCCTTAAATAATAGAATAGGAGGAGTTAGATTCTATATGTTTTAATTAAGTCTACCTGCTTTTTGAATTCTACATTTCTAAAGCATAGAAATACCTTGTTTATAGTTTTTGAAAACATGATAGATGAGTAAATACTGGAAGAAGAATAGTTTTCCAGTGTACCATAAAGAATAGTGAAAATACAATACACAGATATATAAAAGTTGCTACGTTTGTTGTGTCATCGATAGTTCAAGATAAAATTTTCTTCAGTTTTGTAAGGAAGATACTGAATATTCAGTACGGTTTTCGCTTATGGAGAGAATAACAGAATACTGGAGAAGGCTTGTGATGCTCACCTCACTAAAATTTCTTAAGAACAGACAATTACTTAATTAAAATGGCTCAGGTATTATTGATCTTGTCTTTGGGCTAGGAATTGTACTAGTGATCTTTTGTGGACCACAAAAGTACAGTCTTCTGGCTAGGTTCATTAACCTAGTCACATTTAAAGATTTGAGTTTTGTTTATTTTTCAAATAGCAGTAAAACGTTGTCAGTTAAGGAATTTGATGTCAGTGGTTAGAATACCTATAGCTGAGGAAAGAATCTTCTCATTTTTTGATGTTCTCAGTTGCCTGTGATTTCTTTGTTCTCTTGTTGTAAGACACAGAGCACTCAGGATAAAGAGAAAGCTGAGCGGAAGAGAAAGGCAGAAGCAGCAAGGTTGCACCGTCAGAAGATAATGGCCCAGATGTCTGCACTTCAGAGGAATTTCATTGAAACCCATAAGCTCCTGTATGAAAACACACTGGAGGCTCAGGGGAAAGAAGATGCTATTATGGAGGAAGAAAGGTGAGAAAAAAGACATCCAGAGTTCTGGTGGGAAGAGTTCATTACCTGCTACATAAATTCGTTATGCTCCATAAAGTTCATAAGTAGGTTCAGGGGACAGATTGTGTCATTGTAGTCAACAAACTTGTGTCTCTATCTACTTTTAAGTCATCTTCTGTTAAAGAATTATATATAAACTAGCACGTGTGTGCTGATGTAAGAACAGTGTATCACTTTGTAGACAACATAAGATAAACTATAAAAAATATCAGGTCTTGAAATGGTGGATACTTATATTGATTAACATTTTAAAAAGTATCATTGGAAACCTGCTGAGCTGACACCACTGTAGTCTTGGAGGTGACTGTCAACCTTATATGAAAATTGAAGTGTTTTATTTGGAAAGAATCTGAAAGCCAATGTGTCTTAAGCTTAAATTTCAAGAAGAATACATGCTTCTTGTAGCTCAAATCACTGATATTTCTGTTTGTTAGGTTTTAAAATCTTATTTCATACTGAAGATGTTTGGTTTCTGTTGGTTATAATTTTGTTGATATGGATTGCTCCTGTTCTAGAGATACTTCAACAATATGTAATACAACTCACAATTTTTGTGTAATTGGGGCTTCACAAAACTAATCTGGAAAATAGAGATAGCTGCTGAAAGAAAAACACAGATCACTTCCATATGCTTTGGTCTTTAATAAATCATCTTCTATAAGTCATTGTTGAACTTTGGAATAGGGAATATTTAAAAAATATATGGAAGTTTATTGTGTCACGAAGCGTTGTTTTAAGGTAGTGGCATTCATTTTCAATATGTTTTCTTCAAGAATGGAAAACAATTTTAATGTTTCTGTAAGATTGAAATATATTTAATCCAATCTACATTGAATATAGCTTCTTGAATTTCCTGCTGTCTGAATCCATTTCACTGTGTGACTTTATCTTAGCTGGCTTCCACTTTCTATTTTTAAAGAATACTGCATTTTAGTGAGGATTGAGAAGTTTCTTCATTGCTTGGTCATCATTTGATTTTGTAAAGCAATGTGGTATAAAACCAGAAATATTAGAAGTGTATGACCTTGTTAGATGCCTGGAAGAATTAAATTTATGTAGAAAAAGCCACCTGATTATTTTCTGTCTGTATCACTTATGATCTTACAGCGTGTCTTCAGCAGTTGATTACTCCAAAATTGCTTTGGGTCCCAAACGAGGTCCATCTGTTGCTGAGAAAGAGGTCTTGACCTGTATTCTTTGTCAGGAGGAGCAAGAAGTAAAGTTGGAAAGTGATGCCATGGTGTTATCTGCCTGTGTCCAGAAATCAACTGCCTTAACTCAGAATAGGAGCAGAATTCTTGAACTCTCAGGAGGTATGTGATTTTTCTTCTTTTAGACTACAAGCAGTACTGTACCTAGAGCTCATACCCTTTGAACTAATTAAACTCATATGTTTGGTCAGATTGCTGAATGGCTTACCCTACTTCAGGAAAAGAAGGTGAAAATTTTTGAACTGTTCTAAAATCCATGCTTTAAAACTTAAATGAGAAGTGTCTGAAGGTTTAGATTTGTTGCTGGGGGAAATCAGAAAATGCTTCAATCTCACAAGAAGATTTAATCGAACATGCAGATTTGGTAGGAGTAGTTGCCCTGGAAAAAATCCAGGACTGTTCACAGTTTGTGTTTATTTAAGTACAACAGCAAATTTTCCCAATATGGAGGAAATAAATGAACATTATCAGAGGCCAGTATGGCAGCCCAAAAAGGGTTTTGGTGTTTGTTTCTGTTTGGTTTGTTTTTTAACTCCCATGTGTAGGAAATAATAAAAGCAACAATATAAAAAAGTAGGAGAGTGTAAGCAAGGATTGATATCATCTGATGAATGAAAAAAAAATGAATACAAGAAAATTATACAAACACAGGAGTTAGATTTGCGCAGTAGCATGTTGGTAGCAGGGAACGCAAAGACCAACCACAATTTCTTTGTAAGTAGCAGTTGATTAAACATGATAGAACTTTTAGTCAGTTACTTAAGGGAAAGAAGAAAATAAATAGAAGTATAAGGGAAATTTAAGTACTCACTGACTTTTTTGCGTTTTTCCTCTCTTTTTGGCCAAAAGAAAAAAAAAAAATCAAGACCCGATGCTGTCGGCTTTTAATTTTAAAAAGAGAGAAATGCAGTCTGGAATAGGATAAAAAAAGTTGAAACAGTACCTGGAGAGGGAAGAGCCCTTTTTGCTGTTCAACCAGTTGGCTGTTGCTTTTGAATTTTGTTGTCTCTTTCTTCATAATTAGTGGGAAGCCTTCAGTAGTTCAAGTGGGTTCTGTCTTGTGATTGCTTTGCTGGATTATTGGTCTGGAAAAGTTAGCCAAATGAAGTTTTAATGTGACTGTGCAAACTGTAGGAAAATAAAAATGTTCATGTTCTATGTATATTCTTGTTCATTTCTCATCCTACTGATGGGAAGTTATGTTACTGTTCTTTTAATAATTTCTTTCTGCCGTGTCTTTCTAGATACACTAGATCCTCTCTTCATGCACCCTGACTTACCCTGTGGGACACACACAGGAAGCTGTGGTCATGTGATGCACGCAGCCTGCTGGCAGAAGTAAGAATGTGTATTTGCAGCCTTTTAATGGTTTTTAATTAATCTATTTTCCAAATCATCTAAGTGCACACTGAAAACACAGTACAGTAAGTGGATATTTAATTAAGGAATCACAACTATTTATGCTCATCTGAAAATGAAATATGGCATAAGAGGTGTTTTGACTTGGTGAAGAAAATCATCATCAAAAGTTTTTAAGGCCCTTTATGACCCAAAGAAGAATCTCTTAAGGATTACTAATTTATGCAAATAAAACCAATAGTGTAAAACTGGTCAAGAATAAGAAACCATATCTAGTGAATTTACTTTTAGCAGTCCAGTGTAAACCACTAGGAATCTTCCTACAGGTGAGCATTCAAGAGCAACAGTAGTTTGAAGGTCTGTCACCAGGTCAATACTTAAAGGATGAAGCCGAGTTATTCAGTGGGTCTTTAGATGGGATTCTTGCATTTAGAATAGGAGTGGTTAAATCTACCAGTAGTTTTTCACAACCCCTCCCATTTGGGTGACCAAACCCTTAATAAGAGATAAGGACAAAGAATTTATACAATGGCTGTAAACTTCACGAGATTTCTATAGGTTGGGGGACCCACAATTTAGATCAAGTGTGTTGGATTAGAATGCAGCCTCAATATTAAAAGACTGAGTTCCCTAGCTTGCAGAATAGAGTCATCCTGTATTTGACTCCACAAAGGTCTAAACAAGATAAATAGTGTGAAATAATAATAGAAATAATCCTGGTGAATTGTCAACAGATAGAGAGTTGGGTCATGCAATGACAGCTACTCTTAATTGTTGTGTATTATAAACAATCTCTTGTGCCATTTTACTTCAAAAAATCTTACTAAACCTCTAGTTCTTATCATTTACTTTTCTATATGTGTGTATATATAGTTTTTTTACAATAAAACATCGGTACAGAATAAATAGGTGCACACACTTAAAATGATACGGAAGTATGTTCCTTGAGTATAATACATCTGCTCTTGGCAGATCCATCTACATCTGCGTAGATCTAAGTAGTGCAACACTGGAGCTCAGTTCCCTTGCTCTTTTTAAGAAAAGATGACTTGCTGTATGGGTTAATGGGATTAAAATGGACAACAGGCTCTTCTCATACGGGATGGCACAGAAGGTTTGAGTATAGTCTTTTATTTATTACATAACAGACATTCTAACTTACTAATATTGCTCCCAGCAATGCCTGCCATACTTCTCTATGTGCAGCCTAAAAATACTGCCAACCCTCTAAAACAGTACAAGTTCAAATGAATGGAATATTCTTGTAGTTGTGATGTATAAGGAAGGGTAGTTGCTTGCAAAAAATAGTTGATTGAATGTGAGGAAAAAAAAGTATCATTTTATTGATAGTAACAAAATACACTTCTAAATGATCTGTGTTTATTAGAACTTCTGCAGATGTCCCTGCATACACATTTTCTCTTATTACCTAAATGGGATTTTATTTTATTCCCTTAAGATGTATGATTTCAAGCAAAAAAAAAATCTTGTATTACCTCGGTGCACAAGTTAGATTATTTCATATCTGTCTCTCAGTTGCTACATACCCAGTCAGAACATTAGGACCGAATTTAGTTGCATGTATTCAGACAAGAAGATTTAAATGCTGGATCTTTTTGTTTGTAATAATATCTTTGAGACATTAATGAAATTTGAAGGCTTTCTGCATCCAGTGAAGGGGCAGAATTATAACGAAACCTGTAAAAAGATCATAGTTATTTCTTAGTTTCCTATTGAGTTTAAAATAGTTGAAATGCGATATCATAATATAAATTCTCTTCCTGTTATAGGAAGGCTACGGTTTCATTGTCTTGTCATGAGACTCAGTCGTTGCAGAGTAGCTGATAAATTATTCGTGAATTGTTACCAGTATTTTTCCTAAAATTAAATAACAATATGTGCAATTCCTGTTTCAAATTTACTGTAATGAGTTGCATATGAGAGATATTAGATATAACATTTCATTGTGTTGAAGATAAGAGGGAAGAGTAGAAAATGTAAGGACAGCTTATCTGTAAAGTGTTAATGAAATTTAAAAGGATTTTATAGGCAAGGGAAACTTGCCGTCGTTTTTCCATCAGTGGTATACCATGCATCTCTGCGCAAGTTCATCTGTGTGCTCAAAGATTTCATTATTTTCACATCCAACAAGAGACTTGTTTTTTCTCTTGAATAAGTGTTTACTGTATAATAACACTTTGAACATTTGTTTTCATGTCGCATTTGAGCCATTCCACTTCCTAGTAATTTCCTTTTCAATGTTGCAGATACTTCGAGGCAATGCAGCTGAACTTTCGACAGCGTCTGCACGTTGAACAGATATTTGACTTGGAGAATGGAGAGTATCTCTGTCCGCTTTGCAAATCTCTGTGCAATACTGTGATTCCTATCGTTCCATTGCAGGCTCAAAAAATAAACAGGTGAAATACCAGATTGCATAACTTTTAATTAAAAAAATAAAAATTATTTTGGGACTGGTTGGGTTTTCAAATTTTTGGATGGAAAACTTGGTTTGAGCTTCCTAATCTGTATAAAAGACTGCATATCTCCTTATTGATTATTCAGCCAAATATACTTCTTTTGGCAGTCAGTTTTTTATTTTTAAAAAAAGGCATTTTTTGATTAGCTATTCTTTGGAGTTGATATCAAATGAGAAAGTACCTAGATTTAGTATTTAGCCTAACACTTCATTTTGTGCTGTTTGCTCAAAATGTACAAAGCCAGTAAAGCCCAGCAAATACTGAGTTCATGTGTTTGGATCTAATTGTGTCTTCTGTTTTTAAAGTTCAGGTGATTCTTGTGAGTGTTAAACTAAAATCTGATTTCTGTTTTTGTTTTCAGTGAGGATGCAGAGGCAGTAGCTCAAATCCTGTCCCTAGCTAGGTGGCTGGAGATTGTCACAGTCAGGATATCAGGCTACAGTGTGAAAAATGCTAAAGGTTTGCTGTCTTAATTTTTAAGCTATTCCATGGATTTATGTCAGTACATGTTTTAACTAATACCAACAGAAAACTTAAAATAAAAAATACATTTGGCTGTCAATCAAGACAGTATCAAATCAAGCTGGGGATAAAGTCATAACCTTTCTGAGCTGATGTCTTGATTTCACAGTGTCCTCACTGATTTTTCTGGTTTCTGTTAAATTCTTTCCATCTTTCCTGTAGAAAAAATTATGTGCATTTGGAGAGGATATCAACAAACTAACGCTCAGAGTTAATTAAGCTTTTGTGTTGACTTTGATGTAGTAAAAAAGAGAAACTAAATTAAAAAGGCCAAAATAAAAATATGTATGAGTATTTAGAAAACAGAAGATACAGAGAATCAACTACTGTTTTGGGGAATAGAAGCAAATGTTACTTAAGTAGGAATCATACAAGATAGTCTGGCTGGTGAGGTGTGTTTACAATTATTTTCTAATCAATTTAAAGTAAAAAGTAAACTCACTTCTATTAGACTGCTATAAAAACTTTAACAACTTACTTGGGTTTTAATGTGGATCTATTTATTTGTTTTTGTTCTGGAAGGAGAGAAGCAAAATCTTCCAGCTTTCGCCAACAGGGGAATGGGGAACTCTGCTTTGGAATTCCATTCCATCCTTAGTTTTGGAGTTCAGTCCTCGTAAGTGTTACTGGAAGTGTTCTCTGCATTATGTTAATTCTCTCTTAAATAACCTATATGTGTACTTCAGAATCTGTATTGGAGAAAAGACATATGATTTGTTTGCTCTAAATAATGACTTACTTATTCTTTTCCATAAGCATTCACTGAATATCAGTCAGGTCTTTGCAGAGCTAGGTGGATGTTTTGGTCAAATCCAGTCTGGTAGTTCTTATATTGTTGGCACAAAGCTAGAAGTCTGGAATGTTCTAATCCACAATTCTAGTGATTTGGATTACTTGCTGTGCCTCTAGGCAAGTTATTTACTGCCTGTCTGCCTTAGTTTTCCTGCTACAGGTGTTTTACAGGCATAGATTACACTTTGTTTTGGATGCGATAATGTAATAAGGATTACTCAGTGGAATAGGACTGTGTTGTGTGTTTCTATGCCAGGGGGCAAAAGCACTCACCGACTAAAACAATGAATGGATAGCTGCTTTTGAAGTGTGCTCAGCTGCCTCTTTTTAGATCATGCTGTGAGTACTCTGCTTCTGCTACTTCTGACCGACAGGATTATGCAAAGTACTCACACGTATCTGTTAGCTGCAAAAATGTCTTCAGAAAGTTGAATCAAATTTTTTCTTGATAACTGGTCTCCGTGGGAAAGATTCTTGAACTTTAACAGTGTGGTGTTTTACTATGAACTTGAGTAAACTGCAGACTTTATGGTGCAATTGTTTGGCTGTAGACATATGGAGAACTAATACAAGTGTCAAACATTACTGTTAAAAAGTTCTGTGTGTGACTTGGACAAAAACCCACAAGCCATTAAAACTGCTAAACACTTCTGTACATAAAACTTTTCCCTTTATCTTAAATGCTAAAAAATGTGTTTTAAAATAAATTTGAATGTTTTAAAATAGATTTGAAATGTCCTTCTTTCCATTTTTAGTGCCTTCTGATTTTTGCTTCAGCACTTACAATTCTTAAAATGTTTGTTTTCATTGTATTTTAGTTGACTTTAAGTGGTTGTGTTTTTCACATGCGAATTATATGGTAATATACTGAAATAATCTCTTCCCAGCCTGGCAGATCTTAATCCCTCAATTTTTAAAGCCTTTTATGTCAAGGTGCTTGTTTAATAGTGGAAACTGGTGATTTTTTTCTCCTCTGTACAGAGAAAGGGTCGTTGTATTCAAGATTTCTTTCATAAGTAGCCGGTTTGGACTTAGACTTCTTTAGTGATTGATTGACCAGTAAGGAATAAGCAGTATTAATAATTGAGACTGAAATTATCTCATCTTGCTTTTGCAGAGCCAAGTACTCAAGCAGTATCAAGGAGATGCTTATTCTCTTTGCCACCACCATTTATAGAGTTGGGCTAAAAGTTGCTCCAAACGAAGCTGATTCGCGCATTCCTATGATGACCTGGAGCACATGTGCTTTTACTATCCAGTGTATAGGTAAAGCATAATTTGGGTTTATTCTTTCTCATTAATTGAAAATCTTACTGTTGCTTGATTGTATAATTTTATGCAATCTGATTGTATAAATAATAGTTCTACATAAGTAAGAACAATACGTAATAGTATAGCAAAGTATATTCTATGTAATTACATATATAATAATAGAATTATTATTGTTATAATCTGTAATCCAATATAAATAATAGGATGTTTTTATTAGATAGTATCTTATGAAATAAGATATGGAATGCCAACATTGAGTTTAGTCTGAGACAACAGGGAGTGATCATGTTCCACATTACTAATCGTAGCATTAAATGTATTCGGTTAATATCTTCAGGCTGCCAAAGAGCATTGCCTGCAGGCATCACCTGTACAGCTAAGTATCTAACAGCAGTGAAATACTCCTCCCTCTCTCATTATTTGTTTTTTTTTCATCTGTATTCTCAAAGAATTCTCATAGAATTTCTGGAAGAAAGTCTTTTGCATTCTGAAATTACTGAGTAGGTACCTGATAGAAAAAACCAACCAACCAACCAAACCCACCATAAAAAACAACTAAGCATTCTCTGCCATGAATCTCTGAAGGCAAAAAAGATACCAGAAAAATTATTACATTTTTGGGGATAATGTACCTGTTTATCTCATTTAATTTTTGTACACAAGTAAGTTTGTGTAATAAACATGAAGCTGCAGATAAATCTGTAGTGGCTTCCAGGAAGGGAGAGAAGCAAGAGCTAAGTCTGAAATGGATGATGAAGGAATTGAGAATGTAATTGTACATCTCCATAAATATGATCTGCCAAGTGTAGCATTTTTTTTGATGGAAGCTGTTGAGGTATCAGTGGTAGTCTGCCTTAAATCTGTAGTGGACTAGACACAATGGGAATATCAGGACTTTAAAATGTTTTCAGGGGGATTGGGAATATTCTGGCAGAAATAGTCAGAAAAATAAATTGCATCTTTTTAGTGATGGATTTTATCAGGCTTTTCAAATGAATCGAGTAAATACTGGAAGCCACTCAGGTTTATTAACATTAATGTACTTAATGCTGCCTAGGTTGTTTTTGTTTGATATGTGAAAAAAGACTTTGGTGGCTGTCAGGGAGGAGTTTGCCAGCAAGCGCATAAATGTAATAACTGTTATCACAGATATGATATTGAAGGCCTATGTCAGTAATAGAAAATTCAGATACCTTATAAGGACAAATTTTAAAACTAGAAGGATCACTGTGACAGTTTGACTTATCCTAGGCCACACTACTTCCTTGGATTCATTTTTGTTTGCAAATAGAGCAAGCTTCTGTGAAATTGTAAAGCAAAACTACCTACATGGCTTCAGTATACCGATCTGGAGTCTAATCATAGTGCATTGTTAAAACCACTTAACAGGCATGTAGCCAAGCTGCCTGGACAAGGAACTTTAGCTATCTGTATTACTGGAGTCTCTAGAGGAAGTTCAAAGCATCTTTGACCCAAGGGATGTAAGTTGGTGTTACTCCCAAAAGCCAGAATGTTGAAAGTACAAATCTGATTTTTCCCATGTTTCCTCAGCAACTCACATGTTGTATGTTAAACTGATGTATGGAAGTGCTAAGTTTAAAGGGCTTAATGTGTTGTTAGAAGTGATTAAAAGAAAAAAGGAAACAAACTAAAAAAACCCAACACAAAAAAAACCCTCCAAATAAAAACCTCCCAATGAAAACAAATAGAAAATTTCCAGCTGTTCTGATTCATCTCTGAAGTGAATAAAGCACAAAAACATTTGAATGGATAACTTTTTACTCAACTGAGTTAATTTAGTTTCTTATTTTTATGGGCTAATTTTATCTTTATTATTCCTTCAGAACCAGTGCACTTAGGCAGGAAGACTAAATTGTATTTCAACTTGGGAATTTTCTTTTTGAAATATTTTTGTTAAACTACAGTCAAATACAGTAGTGTGAATTTAGCCAGGTTGCCCAGGGAGATTGTGGATTCCTCAGTCCTGGCAGTGTTTGAGGCCAGGTTGGATAAGGCCTTGAGCAACCTGGTCTAGTGGAAGGTATCCCTGCCCGTGGCAGGGAGGTGGGAACTAGATGACTTTTAGGATCCCTTTCAACCCCTTACCCTCAGGTTTAGCATAGAAAAATAGAATGTTAAGATGGCTGTATAGCATCTCTGTGAACGTAACTTGGTGGTTTTGAGCATTGCAAAAGGGTAACTGAAAATAAAACTAAATCCACAGAATGAATGTGTTATCTTCATTCATGTGAAAAAGTGTTCCTTTAAATCCTTAGTTAGCAAGATCTGAAAATCTGAAAATTTTTAAAAGGCTCACTACAACCATTTATCTCTGAAACATGCAGTACTATTTAAGTTAGATTTCTGTCAAGAGAGTTCTCTTAGCAGTATGAAGTTGAGCTTTAAAAAGGAGTACATATACTAAGAATAAATTAATATTAGGTGCTGTAGAACAAAGCAACCTAATGTCTTCTGTGTTTAATTTTAAGAAAACCTCTTGGAAACGGAGGGCAAGCCTTTATTTGGATCTCTACAAAATAGACAGGTATGGACAAGTAAGATATGCAATATGTTTTAAACAAAAAAGTTTATATACACACACATATATAAAACTGTTGAAATTGCTGACCTCAAGATCATTCTCTGTTGAGAGATATCTCCCAAAATGTTTAGATTGGTAAAGAACACTTTGGAAGAATAATATTTCTACTTACATGTGGGAATTGATATTAAATTAATTTATCAATGCATTTTCTGTTTGTAGAAGTAGATATATTTTTACAATTTTATTTCATTATTATATCTGTCCTCTTTTCCTGTTCAACCATTTTCTCTTGCGCTCTAGCACAGTGGCCTTAAAGCATTAGTGCAGTTTGCAGCTGCTCAGAGAACAACATCACCACAGGTCCTGATTCAGAAACATCTGATTCGTCTTCTAGGAGGTATTGTACTCCTTTTATTTTCCACCTTTATATTACAGAAGTTTCTGTTTCAAAATGGCATACACATTAATAAAGCATAGAATAAAGCATACTTGACAAAAGTGCTAAATTCAGTTTCTCTGATGTTGCCTGAAATCATGAGGTGTTGATTGAACTTAAGTAATCAGTAATTCTGTTAACTAATATCACTGAAGTCCCCAAAAAGTCCTCTATCCCAGATTACATAGGCCTAGAGATACTCGGGTCTGGAATATTTACAGTTGGTTAACAAACTATATATTGCCAATGTTCAAAATTACTCAAATTCTGTTCTAAAGAAGTGGATAAAACCACAAACCAGGTATTTCTGTTTCAATTGTGAGACTTCATCTTCTCAGCATGAGAAGTCAGGTCCTCGGAAAGGCCACATTGTGGCATTCCAGTATCTTAAGGGGGCTTATTAAGAGGAGGGAGAAGGACTTTTTATATAGGTAGATAGTGACAGGACAAGGGGGAATCATTTTAAACTAAAAGAGGGCCTTTTTTTTTTCTTTTCTTTTTCATCCCATCCCTGGAAGTGTTCAAGACCAGGTTGAATTGGGGCCCTGGGCAGCCTGGTACAGTGAGTGAGTGACATCCCTGTCCGTGGCAGGGGGTTTGGAACTAGATGATCTTTAAGGTCCCTTCCAACCCAAACCATTCTATGATTTTGTGATTTCTAGTACTTCCTAAAGGCTGCTTGCAGCCTAGTTTAAGATATTTTGGTCTCAGGGAGAGCTAGTTTGAGGCACATAACTATCATCCATGTTTCATACTGATGAGGTTAGTATTTTGGCCTTTGTGAATGCCTTCTATTTGATAAGATTCTTGGGTGTGGTACTTAGGCTTTTGTATTGGGTGTAAGGTTGTGAGGCATCTAGTCTTACAGTGCCCAAATACATTCACCCTTAACACTGTGTGCTTTATTAGAGCTCGAGAAATAAAGATTTTTAAATCAGAATTTTGAAGATATGTGAATTAAAATTATTAGCTGTTTGGGCACGTGGAAATAACTAAACAATCAATTAAATAAGTGGTAAGCAGTTCATTAAATAGATACTTCCTTAGTTCAGAGACTTGGACTTTCTTTTGGTGAAAACATTGAAGTGATAGAAGCTCTAAAATCAAATTCTGAGACTTCATCAGTTCAATCGTAAAGAAGAAAATGTGTATCAAATATATAACTGATATCTTTGTTTTGTAGTTCTCCTACCAAACTTTAAAGTGGAGGACACTCCATCACTTTTAGAAGTAGATATGTTCCACATTTTGGTAAGCAGGTTCATTTTATTCTTCGTATTTTGAGCATAATTTTTTGTGTACTTTACCCTGTAGATAGTCCTGCATTATCTGTTCACTTGCATGAGTCAAATGATTATACATGAGCAGCAATCAAATGATTACATATGACTGCTATATATGTTTACTTCTTGTTCTGCTATTCTTCTAATTTTAAGTCTTTTCTGTCTTGCTCTTACTAAATTTCAGTCTTCTTTTTATCACCTGCATTGTTATTAAACATAAAAAAACTCCCAAGAAATGCACCCACTCGGCTTCTTTCTCTCAGTTTCCCTTTGTCTCATCGGTATCTCATACCTTCTGATTCCTTCATATTCTCTCTTACTACCTTCTGTACTCTTCATAGCATCTTCTTTCAGTTCTTAATACAAATCTGTATTAGTTTATTCTGATGTTAAAAAAACCCAAACAAGCAAAAACCACACAACAAAAAAAAGCCAACAAAACCAAACTCACCAAATAAAAATCTGTTTTGTCCTAGTTGCCTTTCTGTCTAATGCTTGGTTTCATTTCTCACTTTTTTCATTGTGCTTTGTCTTACATCAAAGAACAGAAATTAAGCTTTTTAGGAACTAGACAGCCTGTCCTGGTGTATCTAAACTGGCAATTACAATGGAACTATATCTGAGTTTCCTACATGCCAGGGGGCACAAATAGTTAATACTTTCCAGTGAGTTTTTGCTATACTTTGAATTAAAACTAGCAAGATAAATGAGCATGTTCAAATAGACTACAGAAATGAAATATAAATGTATAGTGAAAATATAATTTTTATTACCCTTATAGTTATTACTAAGTTTTTGTTCCTTTAGTATTTGCCTCTTCCTTTTCACTGTAGGTGGGAGCTGTGTTATCCTTTCCATCATTATACTGGGAGGATGCTGTAGACTTGCAACCTTCATCAATTAGTTCAGCCTATAACCACCTCTACCTCTTCCATCTGGCAACACTGGCACACATAACGCAAATTGTCATCTCTTCAGCAACAGGTAGATGTGTATTTGGGTTGGATTTTTCTGGCATTTTTACACAGTTTCTGAAAAATAATGGATTGACACTGATAGTGTTTTCCACGGATCAACTTTCTCGTAAGTTACAGTGCTAGGTAGTAATAACTGTTTTCTGGTAAAAAATATACAGCACTATATCATTTTCAGAGCATTTTATTAAATCATTTCTGTGTGCTTAGCCTAAGAAAACAAAACAGTTACTGATACGTCAGTACTTGCTCCGGTCAGTCATTTCAGAGAGGTAACTTTGCTTCTCCTACGAGGAGTGAAGAGGGGAAACCTCTGCCGAGCAGCATCCCTGAGTTGTGCAGTGACAGTCAGTATGCACTTAGCAAATAAATTTTTCTTTACCCTTCAACCTAGTAAATACCCAGAGCTGAAATACCAAATCCTGTAAACTGATAGGAGATAATTTCACTTTTCTCTATATTTCATAATACTGTTAAAAACTGTCAGTAACCTATAGGCTTTCTAGCTACTACTTTCCTTTTTCTTCAGCATGATGGGAATGAAAAAAAAAATTAAAAATTTTTAAAAATTCCTGTAGCTTAAGCTGTGTAGGACAACAACTTCAAAAGTTCAAGGGAAGGAAGCAGTTCTTTACCTGAGGATGAGCAATGAGGGAGTTATTCTGATTCTTCCTTATAGAATGCAGTCTTAGGAAAACATTTTTTAGGCAGAAAATATTAAATAGAAAATAATTAAGCAAAATAAAGTGGAAATACTTCTGTAATGCAATACAATAAAAAGGGTTCAGTATATGTAAGAGAGAAGTGTGCCACAATGGAATACATTTACAGTGGATTCTTCTTTTTGTATGCAGAATCCTCCACTGCTTGCTCACCTGACAACAGTGAGGAGGCACAGTCTGCACAGTCTTTCTGTAGAGAAGTTTGCCAGTACACCAGTGGGTAAGTAGCAGTTCAGTTACAGCATTACATTTTCCTGGAAAGATGGCAATACGCAGGGATTGACCTGCACGAACACAGAAGACAGGAAAAAAATGATCCCTTTTTTATGGGGAGTTAGCACAATTCCCTATGCTTTCTTCCCATGTTCCTGAACACTGAAACTATTGAAGGAAACAGTTTCAGTTAAAGTAGCTACTTTTTGAGGAGAACTGAGTAAATTGTTATTCTGAGGATTGAAAAATACCTGTATCCCTTCTGGAGAGAAATAAAACCAACTACAGTATTTTTTTTTCTTTGCTTCGATTATTTTGTTTTAGATCTCTCACAGTATAGATGGAATCAAGAAAGAAGGAAATGATTCTACTATAAAAAGGGGAGAAAGTGTAAAGCTGAACACAGTTGCTCATTTGAATGTTAGAGCCCATCTTTCAGACTTTTCTGATAGGTATAGCTGCAGACTCTAGTACTTCAGTATCTGTGTGAAATGAGGTAGAAAATATGGATACACCCTCTGCAAACTCTTCTTTGATCTTTCTTCACCAAGGCTAGTTGCAAAGATATGTTTCTCACTGACTGACAGTGCTATCCACTTGTCTAAAGGTTTTAAGTCTAAATTTTAAAATAGGTAACATTTGGTATTTAAATAACAGGAGGAATTTTTTTTCCGAGGCCTGAGCTTAGAATCATAGGTGCTGTGCATTTTGGAAAATTAGGTCACTGTACCAAGATGTCTAGGTACAAAATTAAATTCCAGCATTTAGGCAACCCAGCTGTGGTAGTTTTAGTGTTTTAGTTTCTGTGTATGCATTTTTATCTTCTGACTCTGACCTGTCTGTGCTTGAACAGCACAGTCTGCATAATAAATTTACAATGGTCTGTGATGTTATAATATGGCTTGACAGGTTGTTACTCAGCAAGTACTGGTCAACATTTGAGTTAAATTCACATTTATGTGAACAGGAAGTTCACAAAGTTTAAAATTTTGAGAAAACAATAACACTATAAGCAAGTTAAATTTACTTTGAAATTTAGACTAAATGCTCATATTGCGCAGACTACAATAATAATTACTGAGATAAGTATCACTCCAGTATTTTTTGTCAAAAATGGGTTTGGTATAGCTTTATTTTAAACAACCTGAGTGTTTGTTGTGATTTCCATAATGAAGTATGAGTTATTAATTTTTTTATTCTGTTGGTTTTATTGTTCCTGAAGGGTATTTATGCTGGTTTAAGGGATTTTTTTTCTCGGTTTTTAACTGCATTCAAAAGACGAACTGAATCAAAACCTTTCACAATTTCAAAAAATTGCTGACTTTTGGTTATAAAAAACAACTGGTGTGAGCATCAATTGCTCTGTGTTATGCTATGTTGCAGTGTTGCACAGTTTATATCAGATTATCTTGAGTAACCTAGAGATGGACAGCAATGTATTGGCTATTTATTTTTTATAATTCTGAGAAAAATATAAGTTGACATGATTTGAAGACTTAATATAAGTGTTGTATGTAAACTCAGTACTTATTCCTTAGGCAAAGGGGAAGTTGGGAGTTAAGTGTTTCACAGAATTTGAGGTACATCAGTGTTGCTGCTACACAGCTGCCATACTACCAAATTCTGAAAGTGCTAGAAGGATTTGCAATGTGAACTAATGCAGCTGTTTCTCATTTGTGTATTACAGTTGCTTTAGCCAGGATATTCCAGGCTGGCTTGTGTGGGACTGTGTTAAAAAAGGCATCATGCCTTACCTTCGTTGTGCTGCTTTATTTTTTCATTATTTGCTGGGAGTTTCTCCGCCTGAAGAACTACTACAAGGTAAATATGAGAAAACAAATGTATCTATGTCTGACTGGTTACTCTTTTCTGAAAGAATTTTAAATGTTCACAATAACTTAACAATAGTCAAAACATTAAAATAAGACTTGGAAGGTAAAGAATTACTAATCTGTACAGGTAGGGACAAGCATGAGAAAACTGAGTTGTCTTGGCCTTACTTGCATAGAAGAGTCTTACTTCTGAGTATGTGGAAATATATGAACTGTCAATGATATGAGGATAGTAAGTATTTGTGGATAAAAAGATACTGTTGTTTAAGGATAGTTTTATGGATTTAGATTACATCACCTGAGAAGTAGCCTGGAGTATATTTTTAAAAAACCCAAACCTTTTCATGTAGTTGCTAATGATGGTAAATTCTAAAAATACAGGGATTGAGCAAAACAAAGCCAAGAAGAAATAAAGCACATTATAAAACTGAAACTCTTCCTTAAAGGATCCTAATGCATTACAGATACTAAACCAGAAAATACTCTGTCTTCTGTCAAAATGCAGCAAAACACAAAATCATCAACTATTTGGAAAGGAGGACCAGAATTGCTATGAATAACTGAGACGAAATATAACATATACAAGAAAAATATAAAATTGATTTATATAAACTGTAAACTAAGTTTGCATTTTATTATGATATATGAATCTAAATCTCTGCACTTTGGGATATGCTATTATCCTTGGCATTAGTCTGGAACTTTGGTTCTATAGGGAGGAGTCTTTCTGGTGAACCAACAATGCCATTTTCTGTAGCAGAAATCATAAATGGCTACCCAGAAAACCATTAAATTAGCCCAGCTTTATGTAATCTGTTAGCACTGACGTGATATAGCAAAATTGAATATCATTGAAGGTCATAAGGATAGTGAAAAGCTAAAATGCAAGTAGAGAATCTACTGCACTAAGATGTGTCACATATTATGCAGTAATTTAAGCAAGGCATTCTGTTATTACAGTAACTTATGCGTGATTTAAAAATTACTTAATATATATATCAAATTTGTTTAAGCATATCCTCAGATAATCCAAATTACTGTAGCTCTCATTAAGTCAGTGGAGTAACATCCAATAGTACTAGCTAGGAGCTATGCAGAAGCTGTAGGATACATATTATTCAATGGAAAAGGGATCAGGAGATTCCTAGTTTTGGGTGAATTATTCAGCAGTGCTGGAACACTTAAACAGTTGTTCATGTTTTCTTTTTCTTTTACAGATTCTGAAGAAGGGCAATTCAAGGCACTTTGTAGTTACCTCTCTCTACCTACAAATTTATTCCTGCTCTTCCATGAGTATTGGGACACAGTAAATCCACTGCTTCAAAGGTACTAACTGGGGCTGGACAGGCCATGTTTTTCTGTTGTGATTCCCTGTGGGAATTCTGGATCAAATTTGTTAGTAAATAGCTGAGCTCAAATTCGTACTGAAGTTCTAAATGTTTGCTGTGCATAGGTACACCGAATCTCTTAAAGGCACTGAAAAACACAAAATGTTCTGTATTTTATGGTAATCCCAGTATTAAATAATTATAGTTTAAGGGACTAGTGCTTGCAGACCTGTATGAAACCATACAGTCAGAAAGAAGTTATTATAAACCTTTGCTTGTGCGATATGCCACTTACTGTGTATTTGCCTATTTTTAATCTGTCTAGAGCAAAAATGCTGATTACATGAGCTATAAAATGAGAATATGGAAAATTAAGTAACTGGCAGAGTGAGGCTTTGTACCTCTTCTTGCATTTCCATTGTTTCTTCTCTGCATTTCCAATATGGAAATTGGCTTAATGGTTTAAAGGTACAGTTTGAGTGTTTTTTTCCCAGTATCTAACCTAAATTTCCTCTCTTTCACTTTGTGAAAGAAAACAGCAGTAAAGAAAAAATTTGTTAAATTCTGCATTCAAAAACTCAAGCTGAAGTAAAGAGACACCCCCTCCCCCATCCCCAGCTACAAATAATCCAGCTATACTGTGTTGGAGATATCTCTGTGTATTTAATGTGACCATTTGAGCACTTGGCTGCATTTGTAATAATTCCTGGTTCTTGGCAAAATTCTCTGACTCTTACTAGCTTTTGTTGTGTTGTTGGTTGGTTGGTTTTTTTTAACATCTGTTCTGTTTTGTTGTCTAGATTTTTCAATTTAGGGACGTATGGAACTGTTGACTTTCAACTTAGAGTCCATATAGTTGACCTAAAGAATTACCTACATACTATGATCAATTCCTTGTGTAGTATGTAGAATTACTTATAAATTAATAAATTAACTTTCACAGGTAAATTATTAAATAAGTTTGTCTTACTTGTTCCTACGTGTTTGCTCAAAGATGTAATGGTGCTTCAAAGAGAACACAGAAGATAAGTGCTTGTGAACATTGGAAAGTGATCACTAGAGGCAGGGTTAGCAAATAGTTGCAGTGCTTCCAATCAGAAACAGAGGTTTCAAGTAGGAGGCTACATATTTAATGTAATAGTAACAGTTGCCAAATCATCATGCAAGTTCCCTTATGTTTTCTCACAGAACTTATTTCAGAAGACTGAATTTGATGATTGTTGAGAAATGTGTTAAATAAAGCATACTAGATTGACCATCTGCTACAGTTCTGTCTCCCTTCTCCCTTTTTGTAGAAATAACTTAAAAGATGTCTTAAACATTCCTCTGTTCAGTAACTGGCCAATATGTACCATTGCTTTGGTAGACACATTCGGCCATTCTAAGCAAGCATACAACATGCAATAAACCATTTTAAAATAACCATTAGGTGATGATTGTTAAATAAAAACAAATGTTTTCCTATTACAGTGTATGATAGTTAGTTATTTACACTGTGTCTTTCAGCACATATTTTCCAAAAGGTGCTATGTATTGTAGCCCACTTTGAGAACTTGAAGATGTCTGAAGGCTGCTTGCATTTAACTCTGTTAACCCTATGTTTTCATGTGCATGATAATAACTTTATCATGATAAGTGTTCTTTCACATGGGTTTTTCCTCTTGTATACAAGCTTAAAGTCTTCTCCTGACGCAAAAGCATAAAAAAAAGCTGTTTCTCGTTGTGAGTTCTTAGCTAAACTATCAGTGCTTTATCGGTGTTCTAAGTTTGCTTATCACTTAGTAGTTTAGTTTAGTGATCCTGAATGTATATTTTTATCAAATGCAAATGTTTGTTTGAAATAGGTGGTGTGCTGACCCAATGGTGTTAAGTTGTTTGAAGGGGAAAAGCATTGCAATAAGGTAAGCTTATTGTTGTTTTCTTCTGTTTTTCACCCAGAACAGTTGAAAGAACTTGTTGTGACCAAGTTAAAGAGCTTGTGTTTTACTCCTCTTGCTCTACTACTAAAAGTACATTTATCTTTAAATGATTGTGTATTGTGTACATTCCCTCTCCATTGGGAATGTACAGCATTGTTAGACAAGTAATCTAGCCTGCTGTAGGAAAAACAAAAGCTAACTGAAATATGGAATGTCTTCATACCTGTAGGTTACATATGAAATTTAATTTCAACGCCTTTTCTGGACTGTAGAAATGTTGAAGCTCCCATGTGGAGCCTCTCACTTGGGATTCCAAAGCTGAAGAATTGCTCTGGAACTGCAGAAGTTTGCAGAGAGGACCGAAAGCTTCGCAGGAATTCATAGTTATTTGCTTTGATCTTTGTTATTGTCATAATAGTTCTTTTTCACTTACCCAGGTATCCTAGGAAAAGAAATCATTTAATAGAGCTTCCTGAAGACTACAGTTGCCTTCTGAACCAAGCCTCTCAGTTTAGGTAAGATGTGACATATTTAGTTGTCTTCTTAGGTGTTTTGCCACTTCTAGTGACTTTTATATTCTTGCAGTTACTGTAACTGGTGTTAAAACAATCCAGAAATTATTTTGTAGAAGTGAAGGCACTGTTACGGATATACTGGCCAACACTAGCACATGTTCACTTTAAATCTGAAACACAACAGTAGCAAGTGAAGTCACTTGTGTTTGATAAAATAGCATATAAAATTACTATAGCTTACTCCTGGTCATTTTTCTCCAGTGCAATTTGGTTTGGCCACAGGCCTGAAAATTATTTTTTGCACTGGACGCAACAAGCCCAGATGATTGGTACTGTTTTATGCCAAAAAGAGTGAATCATAGGATAATTCAGGTCAGAAGGGACTTCAGCTGATTATCTAATTCAATCTCCTGCTCAAAGCAGATATCTTGCAAATAAAATATTTTAAGCAATGTAAAAACACAGCCCAAAGAGACAGATATGTGAAATGATTATGACATAGTTTGTCTTAGGTTTTTGTTTGATTGTGGATTGGGGTTTTTCATTTGTTGGCTGGGTCATTTTGTTTTTTAAGGAACATTATCCGTCGTTAACATTTCTTTTAACATTGTAATTCCTGCTGTAACGTTCTGGTTACACTTCTTTTAGATGTCCACGGTCTTCTGATGATGAACAAAAACATCCAGTATTGTGTTTATTCTGTGGGGCTATGTTGTGTTCCCAGAATACTTGCTGTCAAGAACTGGTGAATGGAGAGGAGTTGGGAGCCTGTACTTCTCATGCTCTTCAGTGTGGAGCTGGAGTCTGTATGTTTCTCAAGTAAGTAGCTGGCCAGAATTTAATGTGTTAGAGAGTAAAGAGAAATATTTGAAGTTCAAAAATCACAATTTGTCAAAGCACTTAATTCTTTTTATCTGAGACGAAGAAGCGTTGCTTTGACGTAAATTATAGCTCACCTAAAAAGTGAAGGATCTGCTTGGAGTTGTGTTTTAAATGTAGCTTTTTTTCCCCTTAAGAATCAGGGAATGTAAAGTCGTCCTTATTGAAGGTAAAACCAGGGGCTGCTTGTACCCTGCACCCTACTTGGATGAGTATGGAGAAACAGATCCGGGTCTAAAGTAAGTAAATGTTTAACTTTCTATATTTCTATATTTGTATCTCTTTCTTTCTTATACCCACTGGACAACATGTTCTTCCTGCTGTCATGTACAGCACTGTAATACATGTCTTGGCCTGGTGAGCTTGGTTAACTTCAAATTCCTGATGGCAGTTTCCAGTAGTGAATGGATAGTTTATAATGGGAAAAAGCAATTTTTGGTACTGTTAAACTTCCTTACTTTTCTGAAGAATACTTTGTATGCTGTTCATCAGAAACATGCAACAACTGCTGTTGCTGAAATGTCATCTTGGAAATGACGATTGTTGCTTGTCACACATAGAATTTTTTTTTACATTTCCAATAGACTTGTTGAAATTGGTTTTCATACGAGTATTTAATATAGTCTAGTGTTAATGTTAGATTATTAATGGAACAGTTTGCAGTTGCTATTTTTATATGCTAACTGGTTATTTTTTTTTCCTTCTATGTAGAAGAGGCAATCCCTTGCACTTATGCCGGGAGCGTTACCGAAAGCTCCATCTGCTATGGCAGCAACACTGCATCATAGAGGAGATTGCCAGGAGCCAAGAAACCAATCAGATCTTCTTTGGATTCAACTGGCAACTGCTCTGAGTCTCTTGATTTTTAGTGGAAACTCTTACCTTTGGCAGTGCTTTGGAAAAGGAAAGGAGGGTGGCAGTAAAAAAAAACCTACTCAAGTGAATTCTGTAGTTCAGACACAATTGGTGGATTCTCTAGGTTGGATGTATCACTGATATAATGAAACAGAATCTCATGTCGTGTTTTCCTTGTATTTTTTTTCTCCTTTCTAAAAGGAAAACCACATTCAGTAATTATTACTGAACATTCATGTCCAGAAATATTTCCACTTTTTTCACAAGTTGTACTTATTTCATGTATTTTCATGAGGACAGCTTCCCAAATGCTGTGCTTCAGAGCACACACCACACTTCTGTCTCTTCCATGCCTTGAGAACATACCAAAATGGTGTTGCCAAGGAAAAGCCTCCTTTACTTTCTCTCTGGGTTCTTTTCCCAAGCTTTAGTGAAGCTTTAAATAGGTCAAGATAATATTGGAGTGGAAGTGGTGCCAGGCCTTTAGTCATCTGTAGCAACAGGTACAATAGAGAGTAAATTTTACAGAAATAGTCTCCATTCAGCTATGGAGATTTAATGAAGAGTTTTCATTAATGAATTCTTCAAATGAGAAGTGTGGGATAGAAAGTGCATGATGGGAATTACCATCTTGCTTGTTGCATCAAAAAATTAAGTCTGTGCTTTTTGCGTTGCCAGAACTGCACTTTATCTAAAGAATTTGTCCTCTATTAGTGTTGTATGAGGTCTAGGGCTACAGTATTTGGCTAGGTTGTGGTTAGTTTTACTTTTTTACAGTTTGTTTTCTGAGGTTTTCCCCAAGAATCAAATGTAAAAATATTGCTGCTGGGTAGTTGTAGCGTAGCTCTGCAAGTTATACAAGAGCCAGAGACTTCAGTAAAGTAAATGACCTTCAAAGCTATCACTGGACTAAAATAAAGTCCTGAAAGCAGCAAGTTTTAGAATCAGAAATAAGTTTTCTCATATTTGAGGGGTTTTCCACTCTTCATCCTCTGTTACTATTGTTTGGAGCATGTTTTGGAGCCTGCATAAATGAAATGGTGTGTTTTGGGGAGCGTGTTCAGTGGTTCAGTGCCAGGTAGACCAGAAAAGGGAAAAAAAGGTGGCTAAGTCTGTTTCTTTGCCCTCCAGTTAATAGCACGTTGTGATTGAACTCTCTCTCAATGATACGTTATTTTGCTTTAGTTCTAAATGTTTGTTCTGTTTTCTGAATTTCAACCATAATATACATGAGAGAATTTTTAACGTGATGGGTAAAAATGCTTTCCCAGGAAATACCATTTCCATGTGAAAGTCTGAAGTTTTCATTACCCTAAATTTCCCTGCCCCTTTGCTGTTTGGATTCTTTTGTGCCATTTTAATAAGACTTTCAAGGGGAGGTTTTCAAATTAATGTCTGAGAGCATGTTTTTGTATGATGTCCTTTTCATTTTGCCACGTATGTGAAATGGTAGAATCACAAATAATGATTTAGATTTAAATGTTCTTCTCCTGTTTGTTTTTTTTTTTAAAGTTTTTTGAGTATGTATGTATAAGTGCACTGAACAGCACCATAACTAATCTAAAAATGGAATACCAATGAATTCAAATATTGTTCTAGTTTCAAATACTTCTTAAAAACTTTTGCTGTAATCCTTCCCTGGTGATACAAAAAGTTGGCTTTGGTATATTTTTAAGGTATTCTGTTTCTTTAAATTAAGACCATTCTCCTTATTTTGATTCTATCGGATTTTAAACCTGAATATTAAACTCTTCGAAGACAAACATTAATTCTGTTAGTCTTCACATACTGAATTTAGAACAGTTGTCATGAAAACTTGCATGCACTGATGATTTTTATGTCATCAAAACACTTCTTACCAACAAAAATATTGAATTAATACTAGCAGATGTATGCCTCATTGATACCAAGCTGTATTCTCTTACTGTTTCCCTCTGATATTTACTAATTCATTTATCAAAAAACCTTTCAGTTATCTCGCACTTCACTGATGCAAAAATTCCATTGTCAAATATGCAGTGAGATCACTTTATTTTGTTTTCTGTCTGAACTGTAGTATATAAGGAGTTGGTATGAGCAGGTGAGCTTGTTTAAAGCTCTAGAAATCTCTTTGTAGCTGAAGAAGTGGGAGAAGAAAGTTGCATCTTTCTGCACGTTTGCACACACTAATTTAGCAAATGGGCTCCCATATCATTCATGGACTAGCGTGGTCATCTTTCATTTCATAAATTACTATGCAGTTTTGTTCACTGTGAGTATAATCTGTATTTAGTGATTGCAAGATGCTTATGCCACTGATTTCTGTTCCATCCAAGCTGACAGAAGTTATTTGATAATGCACATACTGGTATCTTTAATTGCAAAAATGTAAATTTGAAACTTGTATAATGTTCTTGTGCTTTTGAAATAAAATATCTTGTATATGTATATTTAAAAAAAAAAAGAAATAAAGTAACTTCTCGTAGATTATTCAATTTTTATTTGACACCTCACAGTTCTTTTTACAAGAGCGGTGTCTGTCAGTATGAAAAAGGAGAAGGGTTAGTAAATGGTTGGTAGACAATACCAGTTACTCCTGTAGTCTGTATAATTTTTGTACCATTAGGAATGATGCTGTGCTTTTTCTTACGTAAAGAAATATGCTACTTGAAACTTTTCCCAGTATTTTGTAGATGCAAATTCCTGCAGTGTCTACCTCAATTTGTAAAATAAGTTTTCAGTGCAGAATTTAATATTTAGATGTCCTAAAACCAATTTAGTTGAGTGATTCTGGTTTTGTATCTTGTCAAAGAACTGTTTGTCAGAACAACATCTAGAAAGGGAAGCCTTGTGGTGTTGGTATGGTGTGCTGTGTGATACATGTTAAAAAAAAAAAGGTGTTTTATTATAGAGCTAAGCAAACAGTCAAGAAATCTTTCACATAGAAATGGCCAGTACTTCTTGCCCCTTTTTATGTTACAGGCTGCTGACTGTCATCACATCCTCTGCTGTTGTAGCTTTGGGCACCATTAAGCTTACAGAATTTGGGTGTTGATGGTGTTGCTCTTTATGCTTATTCTTAGTAAAGCAAATGTGTTTAAGAATCAATTCCTGAAAAGGTAAAAGGTAGAGGTAGATAAAGTCTACTAGTAAAAATGTTCTGAAGAATATTAGAACAAGAATCCCGTTAATTAGGAAAAAAAAGAAAAAAGCCACAGCACTATTTCTTGCATAGTAAAAATCTTAGTGTACAAAAAATATAGAGGAATATTTTGACCATCTTGTGCTTTGCTTTATGGTTGAAATACACTTTATTTTCTAGCCAATATCACTGAATAATCTCCATTGTAAACTAGTCAGATTCATGATACAACATTTAAGTTTGTTACTTAGATTCTTCTAACCTATTACTTAACCAGATCTTCAAAGATACTTTCTTAAAAAATGGAAGTTGTTTCATTTCTGTGGCACAAATCTCTTTGTTAGTTTTCATGAGTATTTTGCAGGTAGGCTAAATTTGAGGGTTGATACAGAAAAAAAAATGGCTAATAATGAAAATCCACTCCTATAGAAGTCTCTCAAATCTAGTTATTCCTAATCCTAGCTACATTTCTCTAAACTTACACCACTTTGCTTTCGACTGTACTGAATGTAAAGGAAATGTGCGTTGAAGGAGAGCGAGCTGACATTCCAAGGGATTATATACATGATTTCATGTAGTGATAAGTAAGAGGAGACGAGGTATAAAGTTAAACATGAAACATTAAAATGGGACCTGAGAGTTTTCTTTTATTTCCTTGTGACTGTTGCTCATGAGATCAGTGTAAAACAACTTACAGTCCATCAGACTTAATTTTAGAAGGTTTTTGGGCTTCATGCTTGAGTGAATAAGCTGCAGCAAAATGCTGTGAAGCACAAAGTGGGGGCTGTGGATTTTATGGTTGTTTTGAGTCCTTGCTATGTTTGTGAAAAGCCGTGGTTAATCTTTTTCAGTAGACTGCAGAACCTTTTGTTTCCTCCTTCTTAAGTGTGCCTAAAGTGTAATGTTGCCCTTTTGAGGTGGGTACAAGCGTTGAGATGCAGGCCTAGAGCTCAGAGAGAGCTCATCCCAATGTACCAGAGTTCCTGCTTGAGCTGTGTTCAGTGTTCATTTTAACAAAACCCTAAATGTGCTACATTTTTATATTTCTTGCTAATTATTTTTTCTTTACAATCAATGTAGAGTAAGTGTTTTCAGTGGTAATCAGAAAGCTTTAGAGTATTGTAATTGCAATTTCTATAAAAGCTATCACAGTGCCTTCACCAGAAACTGAACATTACAGTGTTTATCTTATTTTGTTTTAATTAAGAACTTGATAAAGAAAATAGTTTTATGCATAGATGAGTGCCTTACTCTGGAAGTTGCTATATTGTTATTAATTCTGACTGGATTAAGCATTAATAATAAGTAGGATAAGAAGTGTCCCTCAAGTTGTATTTATTTCTGTATCTGAGCATATGCCCTGGCTTAAAGGCTTGGCTCGCTAATGCCATCTTTGTCTTTAACAATTACAGAGAATTAAGGTGGAGTCAGTGCTGCTGCCTGAGCTTGTTGTCTTGATCCAGTGGCTGTGATGTTAAATACTGCAGGAAATCCCAACTATTGTGACAGGTGCTGTAAAGGAAGCTGGATATATAGGGTGCACTTCCACATTCTGGGGAAACCAATAAATACAAAGCAAAGACGAAAGCATTTATTAAGAAAAGTAAATTTTATCCTGATTACTGTGAAATGAGCTATCATCTTTTTGTAATGTGTCTATATTGATGGAGACTCTGAATGCCTAGACAGGATAGGAATCAACAATTTAATGACTTAAGTAATCACTGGTAATAGACCAGACAAGGACTGTTCCCTGTGAAATGTATTCTGAAACTCAGTTAATTTCAAAAGCAACCACATTCCACTGCTGCAGTTTCTGGCAGTTGGCTGAGAGAGAAGGTTAACTTGCTAAATGCTAACTAGTCTTTTACTTGCATATGAAGAAAACACATTTTACTGTAAATGAGCTTGTGTGGGGGCCAGGGAAGATGTGTAGCTGGACACTGACACCTCTGTTCTTCATGATAATGTTTTACATCAAATACTGCTTGACATTTCTGTGTCTTTAAAGAGATGCTCAGGCTGGATGATCCGTTCACTCTTCCTTCCAAATCTGTCTTGACAAATCCATCAACTAGAAAGTTATCAAAGGAGTAAGTTCACTGTTCTTGCAATTCTGCAAGTTAAGACTTGACCAAGAGATTTTTAAGTGGTGCAAAATGTCAGTTGTCATCTGTTTCTACAGTTAAATGTGTTTTGCCATGAGGAAATATGGAAATGTTTCCTAAAATACAAAGTAAGATTTTCTTTCTTTATGCTCTGATATCCTGATTTACAACCATTTTCATCACGCTGAACCATTCCTCTCTTTTTTTAATTGTTGAAAGCATTTTATTTTTTAGAATTTGCATATTCTTAGATCTCTTGATTCAATTTTTTCCTAATTAAAAAAAAAACTCTACAGGAGTAATTTCTGTTTTTCTCTGAATTATTTCTGATTATCTTACAGCTTTTGGTTATTGAGATCTGTTTTTCCAAATGTAGATCAACTAGAATTGTTTTGAGGAAGTGACTGCTATTGACTGACACATGGCACTTTGCATACTTACCTGAAGAAAAATATACTGCATTTAAAAAAACCCCATATGCTATTGGGAAATCTGATTAATTTGCAGTATATGACTGTCCTTTTCCTTGATCTCTCAAGGAAACTGTACTAATTCTTTTCCAGTCTGTATCAGCTAATTATAGAGCAGCTGGTAAGTATTTTTGGCTCTCAGAAGTGGCTGAGGGAATTATGCACCAGTTAATTTTTAATTCCACACTGGGCAAAGTGATTGCAATGAAGACTAGAAATACAGACATGTAGGTAAATGCAATGCAAAGGGAAGAGTTAATGGCTCTTGTGGAAGGTAGTCTCAGCTTACAAACCTAGTTCTTTGAAGGAATTTTAACATACTTAAGTATAGGCCTCAAATGTTAAGCAGTGAAGCAGTTGCATTTGAAATTATGGTCATGCATATAGCCTGCTTGAATTGCACTACAGATCATTACATTCCACAATTTATTTACAATATATCCTTACGGTATAATCCTTGCATTTTCTACTGTTACAGAATACAACAGTTGTTAGGTAAAGGAATTTTTACTGTTACTTCTTCACAATTTCAAAAGCAGGAATAGTTCTGCTTTGAATATCCCAGTGATATATCTTCTTTTACTTGACTATCCACAAAGAATCCACTCACAGCAATAACAAGTAAAATACTTTATTTTGTCTTTTAACCTCTATTTTGTATCGATATGTTTTTCCTCCTTACTACTAATGATGAATTAGTGTCATAACTAATGTAACTACAAGTGTCTTGGGCATTGAAGGCTTTCACTCCAAGCATTAATAAAGTTCCTGAGCGCTGTTGTAGGAGTGTGATGGGAGAGCTGTCAGTCTGACTTTGCCTTCATTGATTTCACATAGTCCCTTATCTTCCTGCCCCTGGATCAATGTGTTAAGTACTTTTGAAATGAGGAGCTTGTAAGCATCTAGCATCATCAGTGTTTGTTTTAGGGGAAGTATATCTACTTGTTTTTAAACTAGGGCTATCACATGCTACTTGGAATTTCAAATATCCTTGCAGGAGCTGTCAGTTTCCTTAAGCAGAGAACTCCTTTCAGCAGTACCCTTTGACTTACAGGGAGGTGTGGCAGCTGGCTTTGCCTAGACTATGGAGCGGGAAAAATGAAGACATACTTCAGACTTTTTGGGAAATATAAATGACATACATTACAGTAACTTTCATTGCCTTCAGTTTCACCTAGCTGGTAGGTTCTGTTAGAAGGGCTGCAATATAGGTACATTTCAGCTAAAAGTTCTCCTCTCCTATCTTGGACTAACAGAGCTTTCATTTCAGTTTTTCTCTTTTTTGTAAAGAATCTTCTTACCAATTGTAATAATTTCTTTGGGAATTTCCATTGCTGGGATTTCTGTAGGTGTAATGACAGTAAGGACAAACTTTGGTACATATTAGACTAATGTGTATGTTAGATGTAGACTCATCCTCTCTGGAACATTTGCTTGTGCATAGTGATTACTCTGGCATGTTCAGACCATGATAGAATTCTGTAGATAAAGAGAGAAAGTGGGAAAAATTGCAAAAGTTATGTGCTGTGTTGAAAATCAGGGATTTTGAAAGTAAAAATGCATCCATCCAAAGAAGTATCAGCAGTTTTGGAGCTGTCACCAGTCTGTGGTTTGTTCAATTGTCTTCATTTTTTTTCCTTTTTTACCCCACCAGTGAAAAATCTGGTAACTGTAGTACTGTAATACAGCAAAGCTAAACTTGTGATGTCATTCCTTCAAAGATTTGCCTACCTAGCTGCAGGGATAGATTTTGTTGAAACATTGGTTTTGCCACAGTCTGTGTTTTGAACATTAATGTTAGGGTCATTCATGCCTGATACAGTGGAGATCTGGTTGGCTTTGCCGAGGTTCTTAATGATACTGATGTTGTATTTGGCAGTTTCCACAAAACTATTTTCTAGTAACCAACCGTCTGATTCACCCTCCAGATCTCCGAGCAGAAGGACATTCTTCATGGCTGTTTGTAGGTACCGAACACCAATAAGTACACAGAGCTGTAAGAAATAGTTAGAGGTTAAACAGCAAGTTGAAATCACAGCCTCAATCCTACCACTAAGTCAGCTTTCTGACTTGTGTATTTACAGGCCTCATAACTAATATTGAGTAAAGCAGACAAACTCTGTCTGAGCAATATATCTAACCACTTTCCCAGTTAATTGCATTTTTTTAGAAAGAAAAATACAAGGGAGAGATGGATTGATTCTCTCTTCATTCTTCAGGTAACAATCCCCCTTGCATGTTACTAGCATAAAAATACCTAGAATTACTCAGGAACCCTGCAGCCTCAGAGACTGCAACTAATTGATGTAGAATGGATGATCAATTAGTGGAACCATCAGCCACTGGGGAAAAAACAAAGTACTATGTTAATTTCCATGGATTTTTTTTCCCACTGACCTTGATTAAATCAATAGTTCCTCCAAGGAGGTTTAATCATTCATATGTAAGCCATATGTATCCTACATGCCAAGGTATGAAAATTAAAAAGGATAGCCTATAGCAGAGGCTCAAGTATAAGTTTTGGAAAAAGCCCTGCTGTCATAGTTTCTGTCACAATCGAGATCAGTGTGCCCAGATTGTCAATATTTAAGGGAGCACAGAGAGCCAGTTCTCAGTTTTTTTTCACATGCTGTTAAAGGCCTGTTATTTCTGGCACCACCACCAAGCACTGCTTGAGGACCGTGAACTATTTTAATTACAGTCCTAATATTTATGTAATGGAGCAGTAATCAGAAAACTAAAACTTATTAAAAAGATGAGAAAACTCTATTGTAGCCTGTGCCACTGGGGGTCCTTTACTTGTGGATGACAACATCCAGACAACTCTCTTAACAGACATTAGCAGGAAGACTGCACCTTTCCAGGGGTGTATGCTTCCCTGTGATGTGCTTATTTTGATTGCATTATGAGCAGCATAATCAGTGCCATATTTGCAAGTACTGTTTATATGGTGAATATATAATGTAAAAAGGAGGCTTGGAGATATTAATACTTATGCTCAATTTTAACTATAAACAAAATTTTTCTATTAAACCAAAGACCTGCTTGCATTTTGTATATTCTTTGCTAAAACTGAGTTAAAACTACCCCCAGACCTTCTCATGTAATTTCCTTGCAGTTGTGTGAGTGCATATATCGTCTTGTATCTGATCCAGTAAGTGCTTCAGTGAAGAAAATATGTTGTATTCTATTGGAAAAGCTCTGTAAATATACAGAATTATATACATAATTCCTGATAGTCCTCAAATTCAACGAAATTTGCTTCTGCTTTGTGGACTTTGGGAAAGTCCTGTACTCAAGGAAGTCCTGCAACATTCCTGAAGTGCCTGTGGACTTTGGTTGCTGAGGCACTTTTAATGTTACACCATATTTGTTTCCAAGACTCTGATTAATCTGACACAGACCATTTTTGTGAGACTTACCTCAAACAACCAAATAAGCAATGCTGCAATGCCAATCGATCGCATAATAGTGGTGTAGTAATCCAGCAGGGCCTCTCGGCACCCCTTCACCCAGATATTGAGCTCCTCTGTCAGAAAATCATAGTTGTAGTGAGCACTGTTGTTGGTCAGCTGGTACTGGATGCAGGGCCGTGGGGAGCTGGGGTTGCAGCAGCTGAAGGGTACTCCATCCACCAGGAACTTCCCATCAACATTGCTCTTTAGACGGCTGCAACAGGACAGAAATTTCGGGCATTACAAAAGTCGCATCAGCAGCAGGCGGTGCCTGTGATTTTAGCAAAAGAAGTAATGCAAGTCTGCTGCAATGTAGGCCTCTCCAATGTAAGAAAAGGAAAATAGGGATATATTTTCAAGTGGAAAAGTTGCTTACTACAGGAAAATGGAATTTTTAATGGTCTGCATTTAAGTATAAGCACCTCACCTGATTTGTGGTACTGTGCCACAAGACGTGAGTTCAGTGTTCATGGAGATGTTGCCTTTTTAGGTATCTTTGTGCTGAAAATACTAAAGACAATTTCTGAAGCTGTTTAGCTTGGTGGAACTCTAATGGAAGTTATGTCCCTGCAAATCCTGTTTCACTACTTCTGCATGGATTTTCAATTCAGTCATTCCTTAGGAGAGAACCTAATACAAGAATAACTTTGCATACCATGAGAACCACTGGAAATTGTCTGCTGGCCTCTCATCACTGTACCCATTGCAATGGCTAGTTCAGCACATATTCTGAAACTAATTCACAAGCGAGTTTCTGCTTCTTGAAACTATACTTTTTGTAACTTTAAAAATAGTATTGATTGCTAAAAATTATTCCTTTCCCTCCCCCATAAGATCA